TCGAACTGCATCAAAGTTAGTAAAAGAAATAGTTACTGATCCACACGAAGCGAAACAATATAAAAAAGCAGTGTCAAAGAAAGAACGCATTTCTCCCTTAACCACATTTAAAGCTCTCTCAATGTTTGTGGAAGCCAACTTGACAAGAAAACAATATGAAATTATTAGAAATTCAGCCAAAAAATTATATCCATGCTATAGCTTAATCCATAAAGAAAAAATAAAAAGTTATCCTGACAAAGAGGCTTACAGAGTAACCGAAACATGCGCGGAAATAAGGCTACAAGATGTGGTGGATCTTACTGTCAGAAGGTTGTGTTTTTTTTTGGAAGAGTTTGCAGAACACAAGGTGCAGATTTGGAACACTAGGTGCAGATGAAAGAGAATCTTTAACGCTTATCTACAAGTGGGGTTGTGATGGCTCACAAGTCCAATTCAAGCAAAGTTCTGAAGATTCTGACTCGAATATTTTTCAAAGTTCATTTGTCCCTCTTCAGTTAAAATCCAGATATAATGATAAATTAGTTTGGGAAAACCCCACTCCTTCCTCGCCTCGATATTGCCGCCCTATTAGAATTAGATTTATAAAAGAAACATCAGATATAACTAAAGAAGAGATTGCATATATCCAGGCAGCTATTGATTCTCTTGTTCCAGCAGTAATAAATTAGCAAGACAAACAATTTGTTATAAATCAGGTTATGCTTTTCACCATGGTTGACGGTAAAGTATGTAATGCGGCATGTGATAACTTATCTACTATGAGGTGCTATATAATCTGAACAAAAGAAAAAACTCAAATCCAGCTGCTTTAGCATTTGGATTATCTGTTTTACATGCTAGAATCAGATTATTTGAAACATTATTACACGTTTCCTTTTGTAGTTGCCTGTAAAAAAATGGATGCTCATCATTGGGATTACTTGTAGATATACCAAAGCAAGGATTTGGAAACACGAATGACGGGAATACCAGCCGTAGATTCTTTGAAGATCCTGAAGTTGCAGCGACAATAACTGGACTTGATTTGAATCTTATCCATAGAATTAAAGTTATTCTAGAGGCAATTTCTAGTGGGCATAGGATTAACATAATAAAGTTTGAGCAGTATGCATTTAAAACTGCTCAACTTTATGTTGAGTGGCATCCAATGACCCCCACAATGCACAAAATCTTAATTCATGGGTCTGAAGTTATTGAAGCTGCCTTACTTCCGATAGGCCAACTTTCAGAAGAAGCCGCGGAGGCACGAAATAAGCATTTTCGTTTATACAGGGTGTCCCAGAAATAAGTACAAATATTTTAACTGGTAGTATAGTTCAACCCCAGAAACACGCCTATGAGGTTCTTTTCGCGAAAAAAAAATTTTGAAAATTTGAGATATTTTGAAAAAAAATTTGGAATTTTTTTTAGTTTTTAGTTAAAAAACATAATTTCTTAATAATATGGCACCATAGGTATTAGATTAAATTTACAAGAAAGAAAATCCAGAAAAGATCCAGTGGTTCTCAAAATTTTAGCAAAAAATCATTTTTTTTGGAAATTTTCAAAGTAAAATAACTCCGTTATTTTGGACTTATTTGAAAAACGATAAAGAGAAAATATGTTTCTTTTATCGAGACCTACCACCCCTTAAAATATTTGCACTTATTTCTGGGACACCCTGTATAGGCAAAATTTCGCTAGAAAGATTTCAAGGGAGTCGTGCAATATGGATGTTTTTAACAGGTTACTTTTAAATTCCGACCCTTCACTAACGGGAACCCGACCTCAACCAAGGAAAAAATCAAAACCGTTTTTAAAAGAAACCAAAGAATTGTTTCTTTCATATGAACCTGCAGAAACAACAGAAGATCCCTCTGATGATGACGATCCATCTAGTACGTTTTCTTCTGACGGGGAATCATCATCTAACTAATGGACAAGGTTTTTGGGAATTTATAATTTTATATTTTTTTAGAGTTAATAATTAAATTTCCATATTTTCCTCTTTCTGTTGTTCTTATATTGTATTTTTTACCCATACAAATCGTGTAAATTACAAAATTTCACATTAGTTTGCTATTATTCCAAATTAAAATCAATAAAATACATTTGGCCGCTTAATTTTTACAAATATCCCTCTGTGCGGCGCCAATTTTTTTGTAAATTTTCTTACAGTGGCGTAACACCTAGAAGACTTTTTTTAAAGAAATGAATCCGCTCCAAAGGATTAGGTTTTATGTATAGTATACTATGTTATCTGTGATAAAAGTACAACGATTTAATACGATGGTGCAACAAGAAAGTGGATGATAAACAATTAGAATGCTGAAAGCAATATTTATATTTTTCCCTTAAAGAAAAAGTAAATATCATCTTGTTATCAAACTAAACACCAGGAACAATTATCAGTAAGCTGAAGTTTCGCACATTATATTGTTATAATAGTTGCCCTAAAACAGGTGGTAATAGGTTGTATAAATCAGATATTCTACATGCATATATGTACGTAAGTGAAAGTTGCATAGCCAACGATGTTAGACTGTTAGAACAAACAATTTTTTTAATTGTGAGAAAAAATTTAATCTTCAAGTAGTAGCTTTTCGCTGCTTGCTAAATACTATGCCAAAAAATCATTTAATTACATTTTTATTTTAATTATGAGTATAAAAAATAAAGGGGTGTCTCATTAAAGAAGCATGTCTAAAATGTAAGGCTTTTGACATATTTTACATTTCGTGAAAATAAAGAATAAATTTTAAATTTCAGTAACAGCTACCTAAATGGTAATTTACCTTGTATAGCTTGATATTTAGCTAAAATAACCGTTATATGTTAAGTTAAATTAAAATTTGACCCGAAAAGCTGTACAGGGTGAGACAAAATTAATATTGAATATTTGTGTTATATTGACATTTAAAAGCAAGTTACTCCTTTATTTTAAATGAAACACTCAGTATATTATTCCGATATTTAATGGAGAATTGATATACATATATTCAAAAAAGTATTAAAAAAAGGGTTGCCTACCCTTTAGACAAAGATTTCCTAGATATTTTCATTTTTATGATTTTTATGAATTAGAGTAAAATATTTATCGGTAATAAAAACATACACGTTTAGAACATTTTTTAATTATTACAAAATTAAAACTAGATATAAACGTATAATTATGTGACAAAAATTAGCTAGATGAAATCAAATGCTCAAAATGCTTCTTTTCCTGTTTACTACATAAAATCATTCTCTTTTCAAAAGACATTTTTAGAATCCGAAAACCAATTAGTATACAGGGTGCTGCTACAAATTCGAGGTACGAGCATTGGTATCTCGGAAACCGTAATAGATACGAAGATAGTTAAATTGGGGCAAAGTTGCGCCTTGGGCTGTTTACCAAGATACCATCAAAAAAGATTTAAAAATTTCAAGGATTGCTGAGTTTTTTTTTAGAAAAAACGGATTTTTTTGGATTGTTTTGGGTACCTTAACAGCAACAAAACTATTTTATTATTATTTAAAAAAAATTCAAGTCCGACCTTGTTTTTTAAATTATTTAATCTGATTATATTCATCGCAACAATATTGATCAGTACTAATGAACATTGAATAAGGAAAATTGAGCCAATTGAAAGATTCAAATAAATAATATCCAGATCAGCAATTTAAAGATATTATTTTTAACTTTTCTTATTGTGAAATTGAAATTCTCAGTGTACGATCTAATAACTTGCATAATATTAATCGTAGTTATTATCAATAAATTAACTTCTACAAACTAGTTCTAACGCTTTACATAGTCTACATGTTCGAAAGGGTTACCACCCTACCTATTGCACAAATTTATTTTTCGTTCAATGTTATTTATAGCTTTTGAGTAGATCTTCTTATACTTTCGAATGCATTTTGTACTCTTTATTGTAACTGCCAAGATGTGTTGATTTCACTTTTTTCTAAAATTTGGACCTGTCGAATTACTTGACGTCATGAGACGGTCCAGGTACCTCGCTGATCATTATACCGCTCTACCATTTCCAATCCATCTTCTGGGGAAATGATTTGATTGTTTATATTACATTTTATTTATATTATTTTTTATTATTTTATTGATTTTCCGTATTCAACCCACGTCACTGTTAAGTTTGAAAGCTTATCAATATTGTAACGATGAATATATTAAATATTAAAAAAAAGCAGAGCCGGACTTGAAATTAGTTTAAATAAATTGTATCCAAATTTCCAAAACAAAAAAAATATATTAACTGTAGCACATCATTGTACTCAAGAGAGCGAGTTCTTTCAAAATCTGAAATAAAAAATGCAGGTCCGTATTTAAAAAAAATAAGTTGACCTATATATCTTACAAATTATCAGCTGATTTGAAAATCTAAAAATACTATCAGATAGCCCTAATAAAGTGGCTATGAAAATGTGCAATTAGTTTTTTGATTTTCTAAAAAGTATCGACAGGAAAAAATAAAATTGATTTTCAAAAATATCCGTTTTTTTCCAAAAAACTCAGCAATCCTCGAAATTTTTAAAAAATTTTGATAGCATTTTGGTCAACATCCCAAACAGCAACTTTGCCCCAATTTAACCATGTTCGTATCTGTTACGGTTACCGAGTTACCAATGCTCGTACCTCGAATTTGTAGCACCCTGTATAGGGTGGTCCATTACAAAAAAACAACTATAATTTGTAACTTTTTTGGGGACACCCTGAATAAGTATCTATATTTTTAAGAAATGCTCTAAATTAGCTGACATATGCTCGCAAAATTTCATTTCAATAGAAACTGTCGTTCTCCTTGGAGCGTCCGCGTCGTATGAGAGGAGCCATCCTGTATTTAATAAGCATTTTTGTAAATTATAATTGAATTTATCACATTAGATTAATTTTTGATATTAGGCATACTGCATTAATTCCATGAATAAACTTTATTCAATTATTTAATTTGTTCACTTTTTATCCAAACTTTTTGGCGAACCCTGTAAAAATATTTCAACGACTTTAGTCTCACTCTTCGCATTGTTTTTAAATGCATTCATTGTGATAAACAAAGCACTAGTAGTCCTTCAAAATATATTGGCTCATTAACTCCCTAATAATTATATTTGCGTGAAAAAATTCGCATGTTCTTGCTACCTCCAACAGTCAAACCTCGACAGCTTAAATTTAAGGCGGCAATATAATATGACAAATCGCGAAATATTTAAATCTGCTTCTGTATACTCTTGCAACAGTTACAACCGATACCAATAAGATGTGGCATATATTACAACAGATACCGATATGTTTTAGTGTGTTATTTTTGTGTACAACTCTTATTAATGGACAAAATTTCGTTGGTTCTACCGCAAAAGTAAGTACCTACCTATTTTAATTGTTAAGAACCATATTTCGAACGTGTTGAAATCAACGATAATATTTACTGTTTTAATAGTTTGTTTAAAAATTTAAGCATAATTAAAAGGGTACAATAATTGTGTTTGGAAAAATAAATAATAATTTCAAAATTTAAACTTGTTTAGACAACAAAATGTTTGACGGCCAACATTGACAGATTTTTCAAATTAATTCGGAGAATTAATTAAAAGATTGTGGCATACTAAAAAAGAACCGATATTATATAATGCGTTCAAGATATTTCTAAGTTTCTACGTATACGGGGTGATTCATGCGGAAATATCAATAGTTCATATGCATTTAGGGCCCAAAAAAAAACAAAAAAAAAAAAATTAGGCAGTACGGGTTCCGAAAAAAAATCAGTATAATCGATTCTCTCAAAAAAGTGTCTCAGGCAATTAGAGTACTAAAGAATACTAGCTCGTCAAACAGAGATATCCTTATGTTGATTACCTTGGATGTAAAAAATGCTTTCAACTCGGCTAACTGGGAAAATATAATCAATGAGCTTAAATATCATTGGAAAATAAGTTTATTTAGTGGAAAATATAAAAGCTTATTTCAGCAAAAGATGCGTTATTGTAGAGGATGCAGAAGTTAAAGTATCTAAAGGTGTACCTCAGGGATCTATACTGGGTCCTTTACTATAGAATGTACTGTATGATGGACTCCTTCGTATGGAATACCCAGCAGAAGTAGAAGTTATAGCATATGCAGATGATGTTGCGCTGATGGTAAAGCTAAATGTAACGAAGACCTCGTTAGAACTGCGGAAAGAGCATCGGAGCAGGTGTGCTCATGGATGGATGAGGTGGGACTAGAAATAGCGCCGCACAAAACGGAGGCAGTTATTTTGGTTGGTAACCGAAAATCACGCAGTGTACGTTTTCATGTGAAACAAAATGTAATTGTACCAAAGAAAACACTAAAATATTTGGAGATTGTTTTCCAAGCGGGATGAGGCTTTTCTGAGCATATCCGCCATACAGTTTTGAAAGCAGAAAAACAGGGGGCCATGTTATCCAGAATTATGCCAAACCTTGGGTCAAACGAAACGCCGAGTGCTAGCTGCTGTACAAGCATCTACAATTTTGTATGGATCCGAAATTTGGGGAGAAACCTGCAAAGTTCGGAGTCATAGAGAGAAACTCCTTGCAGTGCAACGAAGATTGGCCATAAGGTATGTCGTGGATACAGAACAATATCTGCGGAGGCTGCACAAGTTCTGAGCTCAATGGCCCCGATAGACATAGTAATTGAAGAAAGAATAGAAAGGCAAGAACATTCAGGAAGAACAGCGGAAGAAAGTCGAAATAGAGTTCTGGAAATATGGTGTAAAAGATGGAGTGAAAACAGAAATGGGGAAGGTAAATGGACTAGAACACTTATAAAGAACCTAGAGTGTTGGATAAATAGAGAATATGGAGAAATGAACTATGCCATGAGTCAATTCCTTTCTGGCCACGGTTGTTTCAGGTATTACCTATATAAAATAAAGTTAGCTGATAGCCCGACATGTCTCTATGGCGACTCCGATGCTGATACGGTGGAGCATACCCTTTTGGAATGTAACCGATGGACTGCTGAACGAAGAGTTCTATACGAAAAACTAAGAGTCCCAAAAATTAAGATTTCCGATCTAGTTCCAGAGATGATTCGATCCCCAGAAAATTGGAATAGTGTTCACACTTTTATGGAGACACTAATAGATGCAAAAGAGAAAGAAGCTAGACGAAGTAACTAAAACATCGCAGTAAAACCGCCTCCTCGAGAAGTAATGCCGAAAGGTAGTTCCTCGGGGAGATATTCAAAGCGGCTTGTGGAGGTTTTTTAGTCGGTAAGGTACCTCAACCACCCCGACAGTACCACATACGGTCTCTGGTTTGCAGATTTTTCCCCACAAAAAAAAAGGCCCAAAAATATACACACATGGCCAAAATTATTGCATATATCGTTTAAAAATATACAGAAAGGAATTTAAATAATCTTTTTTATATACATAGCTTTGATAACATAATCTGTAATAAACATTTTTTTGTTAAAATGGATATGGTCAACAATGTTTATCGTTCAGACCCAATATTATTACAAATTCTTGCACATTTCGATTTGTGGTCTCTTGGGTTTCAGAAGAATTTGACCATTGTTTTAGCCTTAAAATGCCTAGAAAATTATTTCACAGTTTAATATAGTCAGAATAGTAACACTGTCTCAACAGGGCTACCGGCAAGTTGCAATACCTGAAATTGTAGGAGTTAACCAAAGCTATGTTTCGCGAATATTAAAAAAAAATCAGGGACACAAACGAGGTTACAGACCGGCCTGGAAGAGGTAGAAAGAGAGTTACTACTGCTGTGCAAGACCGTCAAATATCCCTAATTGCACGACACATTCCCCTCCTTTCTAGTACTGCTATTAAAAATGAGTTAGCTCGCCTTGAAGGAGTAAATGTTTCCAGAAAGACCATAGCAAGAAGACTCCATGACAGAGGATTACATTTAAGGAGGCCTCTACGTGTTCCGAAGCTTCATTTCAGCACAAAATTACGCGACTACAATGGGCTGAGGAGAGAGCAAATGGACCTAATTGGAAATTCGTCATGTTTAGTGATGAAACAAGAATAGGCCTAGTGTCAGACTCGCGACGAACTTTGGTCTGGAGAACATCTGGAAGACGAGCAAGCTCGAATGCAGCTCAACCCCGTGTCCCGTTTCAAGGGGGAAACATTATGCTATGGGCAGGTATAATGCACGGAGCTCGAACTCCTCTTGTTTTTATTGATGGCACAATGACAGGTGCCTCATATTTTAGAGACGTTTTAGAGCCTATTGGGCAGTGGGGGATGAATTTGTTTACATGGACGATAATGCTCCTCCCCATCGCACTTTAGCGGTTCGCGAATTTTGTGAGGAAGAGGGTATAAGAAAACTGTGGTGGCCACCGATGTCTCCAGATATGAATGTGATCGAGCATGCTTGGGACATGCTAAAACGCCATATTGCCAAAAGGAATGATCCTCCCCGTACCTTAATTGAATTGAAAATTGCTGCGCGCGAAACATGGGAAGCCAGAAGCCATCCCTCAACATCTTCTGGACAACTTAATTGAGAGCATGCCACGACGTATCACAGCTCGCATTGAGGCTCGAGGAGACAATACAGACTATTAGTTGTGAGAAATAATTAAAATTGTTTTCAATATTTTCTGTTTAAAATGAAATTTGTTTTTGTTGATTTTCACTCATTATGAAATAAAGTTATAATAACAGCCTAGTTGCACTTAGATTTTTAATTTTATATTAATTAGTCGTGTAGTAAGCCAATAGGTCCAAAAATATAAAAAGAATCACATTAGGTTCAAAATAAAATAAAAATATCGTTATATGCAATAATTTTGGCCCATGTGCGCACATAAAAGTTTATATATAGATAAAGAAGTTTTTCCTTAAAGAATACTCGTATTCATTCTTTTTAAGTATTTATGGCCTTGTATAAATACTTTATGCATTATGTAGCGCATATCTTGTCCAACGAAAAAATATATGATTTTGAATTCAAATGCAGAATAACTGTCACTTTCATATAATACGAGTATATCTTTTTGCTAAATAGATTATATCTAAATTTAATGTAAAATATTTGTTTTTTAGTTAAGTGTTAAAGTGTACTTTGAATCTTTGTGCCCAGATAGCTTGAGTTTTATAAGAAATCAATTATACAAGAACTGGCAGGACATAGCACAGTATGTTGATCTGCAGTTGATACCCTTTGGAAAAAGCGCTGTAAGTATAAAAAAAACTTGTTTAAATATAACAATCTTTAGGAATAAAATATAAAGTAATTAAAAAATACTAGAAAACAATTAATGAGAACATATATAATTAGTGCAATCTATGCACGCTTAAAGAAAAAATCAATATTTTGTAAATGTCAATTATTTTTATCAAAAATGCTTTGGATACTTGTGAATATAAATGAGGCGTCAAGTGGCAAAATCCGCCTTATCCATTTTTTTTTTTAAAATGGCCTAATATTAGAGTAATTTCGGGTAATATGGAATACCATTTTTATTTTCCTATATAAATTCAATAATAATGATTTTTTTAATCTCAAATTTTAGAAATAAATAGTTAGTAGTATTGTTTAAAAGTTTCTCCTGTAAAAATTAGATATCTAGAAAGATTATGAAGTTACAAAAGAATATAGAGAAATATGAACTTTTGTGTAGTCAAAAAAGTGGCGGGTAATATGGAATAGGTATGGCGGGTAATATGGGATAGGATAAATAATTCTACAAAAAGAACGGTAAACAAAATTTACTACTACTAGTTGTTTTATGTACAAAAATAGCACACAAATATTTCCGTCTCGGCATTTGTGGAAGTTTAGACAGAGAACAACTTAGACAATGGAAGGTAATTCATGTTTAGACTAGATAAATTTTGACTCGTGTGGCTCATTTTGTCACGCTTGGTCAGTACCAATAGAGTGTCTATATAAATGCCCAAATTGTAGATTATAGTTTAGTCCTAATCATCTGCTGATGATGCTAAAATGGTTTGCAAATCGTATGTCCATTGTTAAAAGTAATGTGTTTTGGTGAATTAGTGTTTTATTTTGCTGTTGTAAAACCAAAGGACCAAAGGTTCCAACCCGCAACTATAAGCTTTAAAAATAGGTAGTTCTATTAAAAAAATCCTATAAACTACTCATCCTTCAATGATTATGGTCGGGCGATATGAAATACTCACATATCGTGTAATATGAAATATTCCATATTACCCGCAATACGTGTTTCAGAAACAACAGAATATTATTAAACATTAACCCGAAGTTATTAACTAAATACATAGTAAACAAATACCGTATACTTTGTTTAGTCTTACCTGACCAAAAAAATAACTCTTTCTATCAAAATTACTACACAATTAAAATTTAACCAACACCTGTAAAAAACTTTGGTATAACCGTCAATTTGTAATTTTCAGTTTTATGAACGATTGAGATATTGGCGGTTGAGTTTTTCCAATCATGTGATCTGTAGTTCATCTACTAATAGTATTTTATCTATTAGAACATTGATGGCGCATATTGTTTTCGATAGTGGACCCTGAAATCTACATAAACATAATCTCAAACTGCAGTAAAAAACGCCTATTCCTATACAGGGCTGTTCACCGCATACGACACGGAGTATTGTAGCTAAACGATTAGATTTTTACAAATTGTAAGTTTTGGGTTCGTTGAAGGACTATTAGAGCTACAATTTAAAAATAATTTTACAAGATACAGAGTGTCCCAAATAAGTAAAAAATATTATAGTTGTATTTTTTTAAATGGAACACCCTGTATATTATTCTATTTTTGGATTCTACGATTGAAATAAATTTGATTAAGGTTTATTACAGTTAATCCTTACCGTTTTTGAAATATTTTTAATTTTATGAAATTGCAGTAAAAAAATTAAGGCTTTATTTCTACAAGGGTATCAAAGTTTTTAATACTAAATATTTACTGAAGGTTATTTATTGATCAGATATTGTGTTGCAATAAAAAAAATACTACCTTATACAGAGTGTCCAAAAATTTATATTAAATAATTACTAGCTTTAAACGGCAATAACTTGTTTAATTTAAATGGAACACCCTATATATTTTACGTGAATCAGATACACAATGTAATTGTCTATCAAATTGTATTATACCATTTTTTACCTGTAACTTCAAGTTTCCGTAGAAAATGCATTTCCTTGTAATTTTAAATTCATTGAACAATATACCCATGGAATACTGACATTTTAGATTATTTTTAAAGATGTACCAAATTTTAAAAGTACCTTTTTGAAAAGTACAAATACTAATATTGTCGATGTAGTTTGTTTATTTCATTAAAAAATAAAAAAAAAACTGTTTAAATTCAAAAATTGTATTGTTTCATTTTTTGCCCATCTCTTCAAGTTTTCATAGAAAATGCATTTTCTTATAATTTAGACCTCATTTATCACTATACCCATGGAATATTGACATTTTAGCTTATTTTTTAAAGATGTAATAAATTTTCAAAGGGTACAGATACTAATATTGTCGCTTATTTGATTAAAAAATAAAAAAACAACTGTTTAAATATTTTTGTTAAAGAGGACCAATTAATATGATCCCAATATTCAAACTACATTAATTGACTGTTTACGTTGTAGTAATAATTGTCACGAATACTAAAAAACTGAATTTTGTGTGTATTAGACAGTGTGGTAAAAAGTAACATCTTATAAATTTTATTTCATTTATTGACGAATGCTTATTTATAAAAACAGAGACATTCGTTTTCATAACTTATTATTATATTGATTTCTGAGCCAAATCCACATTTATTTAGAATAATTTATTAATTAAAACAATTTAAAAGTATGTAATTAACTAATTTTTGGTGTTTTTGGTAGGAAATAATGGTGGTATACTTAATTGGTATACTCTTTTACAAAGATTTAAATAGTTTTTCTGTATGCCAATAGGCTTGCAATATTTACCACCTGTACGTTTTGTACATATTATGGTGCTATAAAAAAAAATCGGAAATGTCAATATTTCATGGGTATAGTGATAAATGAGGTCAAAATTATAAGAAAATGCTTTTTCTACGAAAACTTGAAGAGATGGGTAAAAAATGGTATAATACAATTTGATAGACAATTACATTGTGCATCTGATTGACGTAAAATATATAGGGCGTTCCATTTAAATTAAACAAGTTATTGCCGTTTAAAGCTAGTAATTATTTAATATAAATTTTTGGACACTCTGTATAAGGTAGTAAAATTTTTATTATTGCAACACAATATCTGATCAATAAATAACCTTCAGTAAATATTTAGTATTAAAAACTTTGATACCCTTGGAGAAATAAAGCCTTAAATTTTTTACTGCAATTTCATAAAATTGAAAATATTTCAAAAACGGTAAGGTTTAAGTATGATAAACCTTAATAAAATTTACCTTTATTTCTATCGTAGAATCCAAAAATAGAATAATATACAGGGTGTTCCATTTAAAAAAATACAACTATAATATTTTTTACTTATTTGGGACACTCTGTATCTTGTAAAAATATTTTTAAATTGTAGCTCTAATAGACCTTCAAAAAACCCAAAACTTACAATTTGTAAAAATTTAATTGTTTAGCTACAATACTCCGTGTCGTATGTGGTGAACAACCCTGTATAAAATTCACTACAAATTACGTTACTGTGGCAATATCCGTATTATCTACTTATATTTGCTTTTTATTGTCATTATTGTTACAAATCCCGCATTTTTTCAAATCCTTACTTAATTTTAATAAAATAGTATATTTTATAAATCATGTTAGGATGCATATACCGTATGATCGAAAAAAAGGCATCCATTTGGCTAGGAAACGACGATCGATGATATTTCCCATAAAAAATTACATATATAAAATGACAGCGTTCTTCATTTCGTAGCCGATATGCAGCATACTGCAACAAAATCGGCCTTATCCGAATTATTTTTGTTTTTTTTTCTGTTTATTAATTAAATATTAATTTTTATTTATAGAAAAACGACGATTATACTCAATGGACACGTTTTTTTTGTAAATTAACGCTTCAAACATCTACTAAAACAGTTTTTGCTTATTATTTCGAAACAATGTTTTTGGGATAAGGCGGGTTTTGCATTTTGACGCCTCAAATCTTAATAACAATTAAGAACAAGCTTATAATAATAAAATCACTGTTTTAGAATTAAAATTATAAATTTAAAACTCACTTCAACGCCTGCACCCAGCTTACATCTCCACAAAAATACACTAAACAACACTTTACACACAATTAAAGACATTTCAAGCACTATTTCAAAAGAACACAAGATTTTTTGTTGATTCTTACGAAAATTAATGAAAAGATTCAATATTGTCAACTAGCCATAGCCGTCTTGCAAAAATTTACTTGACTTTCTTGTATAATTATTATGTAATTCGAGCATCAAAAATGTGTAGATTGTTTACTTATAAATTATGTTTTGAACTTTTTTTGGTATTTAACATTTGTTTTTAATACACAATTCCATTTTAAGGAACTCCTTTGATGTACAGAGGGGGTCGAAAATGTTAAATTCAGACAAGAGTAAAGTAGACTAAAATAACATAATGTATGAAAAAATTATTTTTTTCCATAGCAACTGTTAAAGTTGTCTTATATCTATCAAAAATAGTAGATAAAATAGTACTTTAACCGCGAGGGTAGATTAGATGATACTTTAACAGCGAGGATAGGTTAAAAACTTCATTTCTTCTAGCACGTTTTTTAATTGCTTCCATTTTTGAAAATTTTAAAGTTATTCGGGATTTAAATGGAAGTAGTTTGGATATGGCGTTTGTCGCCTCAGCCTGAATATCTGTTGGTAATTTACTTATTTCGTTTTGAGCCATTTCTGGCTCCAATTCAATCAGCAGTCGACACGAAAGAGAATTAAAAAATATTGACTCAAAACTGACAACTAAAGAGATAGCTTTATTTATTTGTCAAATTACATCGAAACCAACGCCAACCCAGCACAATATTTTTTCTGTCGTTATAAATTCCTTGAAATAATAATTTCTGAATATTTTTAAAATGTAACTGCCTACGGAAAAAATATTGTTTTATATACGACGATAAAATTGCATTATCGTCTTCCGAAATTAATTAACCTTTTCGGTCGACGATAAAATACCATTTTATCGTCTTGTATAAAAAATAACTATTAGCTTTAAAAATGTGTTTATTGTTAAACATAGATATAATAATTAACGTAACACTTGCAAAGACACGTAAATATCTATCCAAGAATCGCTCTTGCCGACGTGGTATAACATTTTTGAATCATACTGATAGATATTGAATTTTCAGAGTTACGAAAATGGGACAAGATTTACCTGTCAACATGGCACACTAGAATGTAAGGGGAACAGGATGATGTCCTGCGTTCTACAAAGGACGCCCAATCAGAATTTGCAAGTCGAATACGTAAATTGCTTTATGAATAGCTACAGAAATGCCAGAATTGATAAAGATGAATTTGGTCAACAGGTATGTATGTATTAATGAATTTCTGACCATAAAAGAAAAACTGCAAAGTAAAATTGAAAAATAAAAAGATTTGTTAGCAACTAATTTAATTGTAACCTTTGGTATACCAAGCGTTGCAATATATGGTTTACAATATATGTCTTGAAAGGTAAAGAAAGCCATTACAGGAATCTTTGTGGCAAAAAATAATATAAATTCCCCGGCACAAAATTCCGCCACCCTAAAATTTTTACTAAGTTAATTATTCTATTCTTTCTTTCTATTATATAGGGTGGTGACAATTTTGATGTTCAACGTTGGCATCTCAGAAACTACGAGAGATACGAATTCGGTTAAATGGGACAAATGGTTGCTTAATTAGAAGTTTGACAAACACCTATGAAGAAAACCCCGGTATCTTGATTAGTTTCGGATTTATGTCAAAAAATTGAAAATAATACGTTTATATTAAATGAGAATATCTTCAGAACTGTTGTATCTATTGCAACGTAAGTTGGTAGTTTTATATTTTTGACTTCGGTCAATTAAATGCCGTTTTCAGGAAATTTCTAAGCCTTCTAGATTTCGCACAACAGTCAAGTTTTTGTTTTCTTACGGCCGCCATTTTGAATTTTTATACTATTAGATAGAGCAAAAAATAATCTATACGGTGGTATGTAATTTTTATTCATTATGTAAATTCACTAAAAAATAGATTTTTAAAAAATTCGCTCATAAGATCAAGTCTGCCTGGGAAATTCCATTGACACTTTATATGACAGCAAGTTAATTTTTATTTACACTATTAAGTGTCAAATCTGGACATAAAAATTTATAATAGATAGTGTAAAGAGTATTAACAGTCAACAATAGGTTTACAATTGAGGAAACACGAGATATGTATGATGTTTACTTAAAAAATAATAGAAATTCGGATATAGCATGCGCAATTTATAGAATATTGTATCCTGAAAGGACACAGCCTCAATGTACCATTTTCGCAAGGATTTCAAGAAATTTAGCAGTTGCTGATATTAATATGCCAGCAAAGATTGAAATAAGTCCGGGAACTTCTAGCCGTAAAATAAGTCGCGAGTGTTGTGTAAGTGTTGTATAATCTTATGTAGGGAAAATTATCAAAAAAAAAACATTTGTATTGACCTGTACTGAACTCTACTATACAATTTTTGTGCATCCAGATTTGACACTTAATAATAAGCAAAAAATAACTTGCCGACATATAAAGTGTCAATTGGATTTCCAAGGCAGACTTGATCTTAGGCGAATTTTTGCTCTGTACCAATTAACGGAGCTAATACAGACAAGTCTGGATAGCAAAGAAACAGCAATTTGTGCCTTCTTGGATATTGCGGGGGCGTTTGACAATATACCACATAAGGTGGTCAGGCGATCTCTAGAAACAAGAGGGTTGAACAGAACTATTATTCGCTGGTTTTGGGAAATGCTGTCAACACGAACAGCAGAGGCTCAGATGGGCACCAAAACTGTAGCTGTTAAAACAACGCAAGGAACTCCACAAGGTGGAGTAACCTCCCCTTTGCTGTGGAGCTTGGTGGTGGATGAACTACTAGACGAATTAACTCTAGCGGGAATACACTGCATTGGGTATGCAGATGACATAGGCATGATCGCTCGGGGGAAACATGAAGGCACCTTGTGCGATATTATCCAAAGAGGACTCCGTATCACTGAGAGATGGTGTAGGACTGTCGTGCTGAGTATCAACTCAGACAAAACCGCGATAGTGCCATTCACCAGAAAGCGAAGTCTGAAAAACTTGAAAAGAATTCAACTAGATGGAAAGGTAATACTGCCAACACAGGAAGTTAAATATCTGGGAATAACCCTGGACAGTAAACTCCTGTGGAACAGGCATATTAAGAACACTACCAGCAAAGCCATAAAGGCTCTCATGATATGCAGAAGACTGGCCGGAAATAGATGGGGCTGCTCCCCTAACACTTTGCGCTGGATGTATACCATGATAGTAAGACCCATGATTACTTATGGAGCAGTTGCCTGGTTCACAAAACTAGAGCAACGGACGGCAAGGCTAAACTTGTGCAAAGTCCAGAGACTAGCATGCGTTTGTATCACAGGAGCCATGAAAACCTGTCCAACAGCAGCAATGGAGGTCATTCTAGATCTAACACCACTGCACATTGTCATTGGTAGAGATGCCCATGCGACAATGATTAGAATGGTCACTAACGGAATTAGAACTGGGAGAATTGTCAGATCAGGGGCTTGGAACACCCTCAAAAAGGAAATACCACTCCTGAAACTCCCAGTGGACGATATGCCAAGAACGTACAACTTTGAGAAAATCTCAATGTAGTATTGAACAATAAAAATGATTGGAAGAGCGAAACGCTTGCCCAGCAGTTGAAAGACCATACCATAACTTGGTATACTGATGCTTCCAAGACCAATACGGGAACAGGGATCGGAGTATTTGGGCCGAGAGCTAAATACTCCGAACCAATGGGCACTTACCCTAGTATCCTACAGGCAGAAATCTACGCTATCGAAAGATGCGTACAACTTATCTTAGATAGGAACTATCGGAAACAAGAAATAGCCATCTGGTCTGATAGTCAAGCAGCGTTAAAAGCGATCAACTCAGTATCAATCAATTCGAAATTGGTCAAAGAATGCATAGAGAAGCTGAATAAATTAGGCAAAGAAAACAAAGTCCTCCTACTCTGGGTGCCTGCTCACCAAGGGATAGAAGGCAATAAAAAAGCAAATAATCTAGCTAGGAAAGGAGCGAACATTCCACTAACTAGACCAGAACCGTTCTGCTTTCCAAGTGGTAACCAACTCAAGGCAGAACTCAAGAACTTAGAAGATTCCATCCGCAACCTGGAATGGAAATCTTGCAACGGTCTAAGACACTCGAATAAGTTTCTGAGGGCTTATGATCAAGAAAAATCACAGATCTTCCTGGGTTTAAGTAAGAACAATCTTCGGATTGTCACGGCGTTTTTAACAGGACACTGTCTCCTCAATGAACAGCTCAGTAGATTGAAACTAAGAAGAAACGGCGAATGCAGATTCTGTGGGGAAGATGGGGAAACACCATACACCTCATCACTGAGTGCGCCGAGACGACAACCATTCGTGCCATGAATTTTGGTATGACTGATATTGGAGATGGAGAACTACCCTCTGTAAAACCGTCCCAGATACTGGCTTTTGTCAAAGCCCTGGGACTGTATGATGAGTTATGACTCAAGAAAGGGGGACACAATGGATCTGTAAGGTCGCAGTGATTAACCCCCCTCCCACTCATTCTCATTCTAGGCGAATTTTTAAAAAATCTATTTTTTTAGCGAATTTATACAATAGGTAATGAATAAAAATTAGATACCACTGTATAGACTTTTTTTCGCTCTATCTAACAGTATAAAAATTCAAAATGGCGGCCATAAGAAAACAAAAACTTGACTGTTGTGCGAAATCTAGAAGGCTAAGAAATTTTCTGAAAACGGCATTTAATTGGCCGAGGTCAAAAATATAAAACTACTAACTTACGTTGCAATAGATACAATAGCTTTGAAGATATTGACATTTAAAATAAATGTATTATTTTCATTTTTTTTGAACATAAATCCGAAACTAATCAAGATACCGGGGTTTTCTTCATAGGTGTGCGTCAAACTTCTAATTACGCAACTTTTGCCACATTTATCCGAATTCGTATCTCTCGTAGTTTCTGAGATGCCAATGTTGAGCATCGAAATTGTCACCACCCTGTATACTATACTTTCTAATTTATTCTATTCTAGTATTCTACGAGGGTAAAGTTAGGGGTGAAAGTTTGTACAAAAATTTGTTAAAATCGCTTCTAAAAGTATGACATTTTGCACAGAGGTTTCTTGAGTGACATAATTGAGCACTGAGGAACGATTTCTGGAAATTTACACATAAATAAGGGAGTAAAAACTGGTGGTGAAATTTTGTATATATTTTTTTAAAATTAGTTCTAGGGGTATATTTTGTATAGAGGTTTCTTAAGTGGCGAAAGTGAGTACTTAGAAGAGATTTTTTTTGGAAACTCACCTCCTAAGTAGGTGAAATAAGGGGTTTTATAAATTTGTTAAAATGGGGTTTAGAAGTATGAAACTTTTAGAAGTTCCTTAGGTAACGTAAAATGAAATGCGTGGGTACTAAGAACCTATTTTTCAAAATATGTCCCTTAAGCAGGTGAAATTAGACATAAAGGTTGACAGCGGTTGGCAAAATTGATAGGAGTACCAAAATCAGAAAAAAGTAATCAAAGTAACGAACTTAGTACTCGAGTAACGATTAGTAACGAGTAATCAAAAGTAATGAAAATCGCCATCACTAGTCATATTATAGTTTTTTAAAAATAATTTTAATGTTAAAAAAATAATCTTTTCTAGTGTGCTGCACGGATTGGTATCGATTTTGACGACACCTATAAAAAGTGTTACTTGACAAGAAAAGGAACAGAACTTCAACTTGAAGCTGAACGTCAAACAATAGATGTCAAACTGAAATTCGTACCTACTATAGTTTATAATGGGGTAAGTATACAGGGTGGCGCACCTCATTCGCCTCGGTAGATTATACGAAAACGGAAAGATGTAGAAAAAAATATTTTATGGGTATATGTGGAAAGGCAATCTGTATAATTTAAAATTATTTTGAAATGCACAGGGTGTGTTAGAACTAAGATCCATACCAAAGTTATATTTTTTCTTATGGAACACACACCCAGTATTTTATTTCATTTTTAGATTCTTAGACATAAAATAAGGCATTTATTATAAGGGTTTAATATGTTTAAAAGCTTTGGTTTCTTGTGGAGACATTTAAATATGCATTCTATAATAAAAGTCTGTCACCTTGTACATTAATTTTCAGTTCAACTTTTGTGTTGACTTTCAAGCCAGTGAAATAAACTTTACTGTAAATATTTCATTGTTTCCTTAAATGTATATTAGGTATTGTAAATAAATACATTTATGGGATAAGGCGGGTTTTGCATTTTGACGCCTCAAATCTTAATAACAATTAAGAACAAGCTTATAATAATAAAATCACTGTTTTAGAATTAAAATTATAAATTTAAAACTCACTTCAACGCCTGCACCCAGCTTACATCTCCACAAAAATACACTAAACAACACTTTACACACAATTAAATGCATTTCAAGCACTATTTCAAAAGAACAGAAAAGAACACAAGATTTTTTGTTGATTCATACGAAAATAAATGAAAAAGTTCAATATTGTCAACTAGCCATAGCCGTCTTGCAAAAATTTACTTGACTTTCTTGTATATATTATTATGTAATTCGAGCATCAAAAATGTGTAGATTGTTTACTTATAAATTATGTTTTAAACTTTTTTTTTGGTATTTAACATTTGTTTTAAATACACAATTCCATTTTAAGGAACTCCTTTGATATACAGAGGGGGGTCGAAAATGTTAAATTCAGACAAGAGTAAAGTAGCCTAAATTAACATAATGCATGAAAAAATTCTTTTTTTCCATAGCAACTATTAAAATTGCTTTATATCTATCAAAAATAGTAGATAAAATAGTACTTTAACCGCAAGGGTGGATTAGATGATACTTTAACAGCGAGGATAGGTTAAAAACTTTATTTCTTCTAGCACGTTTTTTAATTGGTTCCATTTTTGAAAATTTTAAAGTTATTCGGGATTTAAATGGAAGTAGTTTGGATATGGCGTTTGTCGCCTCAGCCTGAATATCTGTTGGAATATCTATACTTATTTCGTTTTGAGCCATTTCTGGCTCCAATTCAATCAGCAGTCGACACGAAAGAGAATTAAAAAATATTGACTCAAAACTGACAACTAAAGAGATAGCTTTATTTATTTGTCAAATTACATAGAAACCAACGCCAACCCAGCACAATATTTTTTCTGTCGTTATAAATTCCTTGAAATAATAATTTCTGAATATTTTTTAAAATGTAACTGCCTACGGAAAAAAATATTGTTTTATATACGACGATAAAATTGCATTATCGTCTTCCGAAATTAATTAACCTTTTCGGTCGACGATAAAATACCATTTTATCGTCTTGTATAAAAAATAACTATTAGCTTTAAAAATGTGTTTATTGTTAAACATAGATATAATATTTAAAGTAACACTTGCAAAGACATGTAAATATCTATCCAAGAATCGCTCTTGCCGACGGGGTAGAAATTTTTGAATCATACTGATAGATATTGAATTTTCAGAGTTACGAAAATGGGACAAGATTTACTTGTCAACATGGCACACTAGAATGTAAGGGGAACAGGATGATGTCCTGCGTTCTACAAAGGACTCCCAATCAGAATTTGCAAGTCGAATACGTAAATTGCTTTATGAATAGCTACAGAAATGCCAGAATTGATAAAGATGAATTTGGTCAACAGGTATGTATGTATTAATAAATTTCTGACAAAAAAAAGAAAAACTGCAAAGTAAAACTGAAAAAAAAAGATTTGTTAGCAACTAATTTAATTGTAACCCTTGGCATATCGAGCGTTGCAATATGTTGTTTACAATATATTGAAAGGTAAAGAAAGCCATTACAGCAATCTTTGTGGCAAATATAAAGTTATTTTTCAGTTAAAAAAACGATATTTGGCGTGTTAGTATATGACATAAATAGGATTGATTGACGTATGTTCAATTGCTTTCGGTCACTTCCTGTTTCACCGGAAATGATTACAACTTTTGATTTTTAAATTACACCCTCGGTATTTTTTTACTTTATTCGATAGAAAATAACACTCTGAACAGAATGACATTATGATATGTCAATTTTTGACATTTTCCCATATGGTTTATTTGAAATTATAACTTGGTTCGTAACGAAAATTTGACTCAAAATACCAAGTGTGTGGTATCAAATTATTCGTAAAAAAATGCTTTTTCCAAATATGCTAACGAGCCACCCTCGTTCCATTTGAAAAAAATGAGATATGATTAAAAATACGATTTGATCATTTTCTAACTGGTCAGGACAATATATTAAAAACATTAGACGATCAAATCTATTTTCCAAGGCTCCTTGATTAAGAATTAGTGTTTTTAACATAGCTATGTCACTCTAGATTGAATTTTAAAATACGATTTTTTATTAAGCAAGAATGTCAATTGCTGTCCTCCATTCGCGAATTTCAAGTTCCTGAGCTTTACGCCCTGGGCTACTCAGAACGGTTCTGAAAGGAGCTGTGCGCGATAGCCTGGTGCCTCCATATGGCGCAGAACAGTTCTGAACTTTATGACTCAATTGAACGGAGTGAGAGTATCGCGGTCTTGAATAGTTCAGAGCTGCACAACTGCGTGAATGGAGGACGGTAATTGTCTATCGAATAAAGTAAAAAAATACCGAGGGTGCCATTTATAAATCAAAAGGTGTAGTCATTTCCGGTGAAACAGGAAGCGATAAAAAACAATTGAATACGTCAATCAGTCCTAATTTATGTCATATACTAACATACCAAATCTCGTTTTTTTATATGAAAAAATAAAAATTATAGGGGTGAGCCACTTTCGAGACGCACCCGGTATACTATACTTTCTAATTTATTCTATTCTACTATTCTACGAGAGTAAAGTTAGAGGTGAAAGTTTGTACAAAAATTTGTTAAAATCGCTTCTAAAAGTATGACATTTTGCACAGAGGTTTCTTGAGTGACATAATTGAGCACTGAGGAACGATTTCTGGAAATTTACACATAAATAAGGGGGTAAAAACTGGTGGTGAAATTTTGTATATATTTTTTTAAAATTAGTCCTAGGGGTATATTTTGTATAGAGGTTTCTTAAGTGGCGAAAGTGAGTACTTAGAAGAGATTTTTTTTGGAAACTCACCTCCTAAGTAGGTGAAATAAGGGGTTTTATAAATTTGTTAAAATGGGGTTTAGAAGTATGAAACTTTTAGAAGTTCCTTAGGTAACGTAAAATGAAATACGTGGGTACTAAGAACCTATTTTTCAAAATATGTCCCTTAAGCAGGTGAAATTAGACATAAAGGTTGACAGCGGTTGGCAAAATTGATAGGAGTACCAAAACAGAAAAAAGTAATCAAAGTAACGAACTTAGTACTCGAGTAACGATTAGTAACGAGTAATCAAAAGTAATGAAAATCGCCATCACTAGTCATATTATAGTTTTTTAAAAATAATTTTAATGTTAAAAAAAAATAATCTTTTCTAGTGTGCTGCACGGATTGGTATCGATTTTGACGACACCTATAAGAAGTGTTACTTGACAAGAAAAGGAACAGAACTTCAACTTGAAGCTGAACGTGAAACAATAGATGTCAAACTGAAATTCGTACCTACTATAGTTTATAATGGGGTAAGTATACAGGGTGGCGCACCTCATTCGCCTCGGTAGATTATACGAAAACGAAAAGATGTAGAAAAACAATATTTTATGGGTATATGTGGAAAGGCAATCTGTATAATTTAAAATTATTTTGAAATGCACAGGGTGTGTTAGAACTAAGATCCATACCAAAGTTATATTTTTTCTTATGGAACACACACTCAGTATTTTATTTCATTTTTGGATTCTTAGACATAAAATAAGGCATTTATTATAAGGGTTTAATATGTTTAAAAGCTTTGGTTTTTGTGAGATATTTAAATATGCATTCTATAATAAAAAAGTCTGTCAACACCTTGTACATTAATTTTCAGAATTAATTCTTGTGCTGACTTTCAAGCCAGTGAAATAAACTTTACTAAAATATTTCATTGTTTCCTTAAATGTATACAGGGGTATCAAAAATTGCTGGTCTATTTTAAATATTTATTTTACATAAAAACTTCGATATTTCAAAGGCAACACTATATATATTTTTTTAAATGAGTCGAAGCAGATATAAATGCTCTTTCAAACTATATTAGGGTTTCCTATACCTTTCTGGCTAAGATTTTGAATAAAAAGCGATTTTTCAATAAAAATGTAATCAAGATGGCTGGTGTCGCCATATCAATTTTCTAGTGACACTTATAGTAGCTATTTTCAAAACCGACATTAGTTTATGGACTTTATTTAAATTTATAACAGGTTGTTAAGCAGGAAACCCTAATATAGTTTGAAAGAGCATTTAAACCTGCTTCGACTTGATTTAAAAAATACAGTGTTGTATTTGAAATAACGAAGTTTTTATGTAAAATAAATATTTAAAATAGACCACCAACTTTTGATACCCCTGTATACATTTAAGGAAGCAATACAATTTTTTAGTAAAGTATATCTCTTGCTTCAAAGTTAGCACAAGAATTCACTCTGAAAAGTAATGTACAGGGTGTTGGTTGGTTCGAGTCAAATTGTCGTTATGAACCGCATGTTAAATAAAAAAAATTTTCTTTTTTAGGTATTTAGCCAACAACTGCAAGACACCAGTTTGAACAATTTCCGCAATGTTGTATGCGATTTGATAAAAGAAGCTTTCCCCGAGGCGTGCAAACATACTTCTGTAATTTCTTTGTGAAAATAAACTATTTATTATCGTTTAAGCTCAAGCAGGAGTTTTTATGAAAAATAACTTTTTTTTCATAAACTCACGAATAAAAAAGTTTTCCCTCTGTGGGAATTCCCTCTCTTTAAATCCGTGGACACACTGTATATTTGCGGTTTTCACCATCACGTTTTTGATAAAAATTGAGTTCCAGACACCGATATTAGTTTTCGTTTATCTCCTACAGAAAAGAGCGTTTCCCTTTAAAAGCGTCCAATTTGACCCATCCTAAACAGCTATTTGATTTCTAATGTGCAACAGCGTGAGCTCTAACTGTCTGAGTGGGTTTTAATAGTAACTGTTTCCGTTATCGAAACTTGGCAGTCATGCATGAGCTTAAACAGCATTTGAAATGTTTTGTGTAGGAGTATAACAGTTATTCTTTCAAAAAATAACAGGTATGAAAATAACAGTGCACTGAGAGAGTTTAGGGAGAATAAAAAACGGATATTTTTTGGTTTCTGGTGAGCAACAACTTCGAGAGTTACACTTCCCGTTAAAAAAAACTGGAAAGATCACAGGTATTTAGCCAACAACTGCAAGACACCAGTTTGAACAATTTCCGCAATGTTGTATGCGATTTGATAAAAGAAGCTTTCCCCGAGGCGTGCAAACATACTTCTGTAATTTCTTTGTGAAAATAAACTATTTATTATTGTTATATAGTTTTTTAATCAACCAAAGAAAAAAATACCTTATTGGATTTTAATCAACTGCAACATATCTATATAAAAATTAGACAAAAACAACCCAGAGACCTCGTTTTGAAAACAAAAATATACAAAAGCTTGGTTCTAGATATCGGAGTACTCTAAAAACCAATACAAGATCACCCTGTATAAATAGAATTATTATTGAAACAAAAATAAATATGTTGTCGAAAATACAAATTTATTAAACTATATTTAACAAAATATATTGTTTATTCTTAATATTAAAACAAAATATGTATGAGATATATAGTGTTTTAGAGATAAATACGATCTTTTAAAGTATCTGGTCAAACAATAACAAGTATCAATAGTTTGTTGACAGGTAAAGAAATAAAAAAAATAATAAACAGTAAACAAATAAAGTTAATCGTCATGGTCGCTTAAAATACCAGGTCGTTGTAACCGTGCCGCCAATACAGCTCTACCTCTACCTCTTCCTTTGCCCTTGCCTCCGCCCAAAGGAGGGAAATCATCAGAGTCTGCAGAAGTGAAATTCTTTGGTATAGCCCCTGAAACAATGAATTACTTACATGCCACGATTAAACAGAGGCAGGTTAGGTTACATTTTAAAGAACTATTATTTAGAAATAACAATTCGTAAGAGTTGTTATTTAAAAAAAATAACAGGTTTGAAAATAACAGTGTGTAACGATCCTATGGACTGGCTTCGAGAGTAACTTCCTTTTGTCAAAACCAGGAAGGGTTGATGTATGGGATGATCTATGGTCATAGAAGAGTGTAAACAACAGTTGTTTCACATGCTAATTAAATAGAAACCTGTTGTTATTGCATGTGCATCGGAAAATGTTTTGCAATTACAATATACATCGCGAGTTTAGTTTTGAGTAGTGAAGCAGTTATTATTTTAGTATTCTAGTGTGGCAACAGCGAACGCTTCAATACTTGTTTAGATGGATTTTGAGCTCTTCACTAAAGGTTAACAACAATCTCGGAGAAACATTGTCATTGTAAAAGAACTGTTGCATGCATTCTAAATATACTGATTTTAGTTTTTAGTTCTTTTTTCTTTCCTTCACACGTGAGCTAAACAGAAACGAATATTTTTTAAAGACCCGTTATTTTACAAATGTTGCTTATAAATAAAAATTCCAACAACTGTTTTCAAAAATTCAGTTTTTACAAGGTTTTCCTTCTGTCAAGTGCTAATGAAACAGAGGGGTTTTCACTTAACAAATTGTTATTTTTGGAAAGGTAATTTTAAGAGACTTTCAGTTAATTAAAAATATACATGGTGTCCCAAATAAAAAAAATCAATTTATCTGTCGATAACTTTTAAATTATTAATTTAAAAAAAAATATATTCAAACCATTAAATTCTACGTAAAAAAGTTACAGCTTCTATGAAAAATGTTTTCATAGAAATACAAAATTTTCCATAGCAAAAAAGTTACAGTGATTTGTTAAAAATGCACATTCTTGAAAAACACCCCGTAACTCCGAAACGGTAACAGATATACAGTGTGTCCACGGATTGACTCCCAAAGAGGAAAAACTTTTTTATTCGTGGGTTTATGAAAAAAAGTTATTCTTCACAAAAACTCCTGCTTGAGCTTAAACGACCAACAGGCATATTATTTTTACACATGTATATACCGAGTGTTAAAAAGTTTAAAAAATAAGGAAAACGCTAAGAACAAAGTACTTGTATATGTAAAAATACGATGAAAAGTTATTAATAAAAGTTCTAAGGATTGAAAAACTACACCACATTACCAAATTTTATTTTACTACCTAAATGTACAGGGATTGGTAAAAGATACCTCTCCATATAAAATACCATTTACTCTAAATTAACTTAATTTTTTGAATAACACCTGTTACAACGTGCCTTTATTATCTATTATTTGTTTGTAACAATATTTTTTTTATTTTCCATTCGTTTTCTAAAAAAAGTTTAATAATTAATCGTGTACGAGTTTTATTTTATAGCCTCCATTGGTTAATTCAAAAAGGGAAGTAATGAAAAAGGGAAGTAATGAAATTGCGTAAAGGTAAACAAGGATTTAAAAATTATTCAAAAAAAATAAGTTAATTTAGAGCAAATGCGGTATTTTATATGGAGAGGAATCTTTTACCAATCCCTGTACATTTAGGTTTTGAGATAAACGTGGTGTAGTTTTTCAATCCCTAGAACTTTTATTAATAACTTTTCATCGTATTTTGACATATACAAGTACTTTGTTCTTGGCGTTTTCCATATTTCTTAAACTTTTTAACACTCGGTATGTCCATTTGTAAAAATAATATGCCTGTTGGTCGTTTAAACTCAAGCAGGAGTTTTTATGAAGAATAACTTTTTTTTCATAAACCCACGAATAAAAAAGTTTTCCCTCTTTGGGAGTCAATCCGTGGACACACTGTATATTTGCGGTTTTCACCATCACGTTTTTGATAAAAATTGAGTTCCAGACACCGATATTAGTTTTCGTCTATCTCCTATAGAAAAGGGCGTTTCCCTTTAAAAGCAGACAATTTGACCCACCCTAAACAACTATTTGATTTCTAGTGTGCAACAGCGTAAACTCTAACAGTTGTCTGAGTGGGTTTTAATAGTAACTGTTTCCATTATCGAAACTTGGCAGTCATGCATGAGCTTAAACAGCATTTGAAATGTTTTGTGTAGGAGAATAACAGTTAATTCTTTCAAAAAATAACAGGTATGAAAATAACAGTGCGCTGAGAGAAACGCCCCTCACGGTGTGCAGTCGCGAACCGAAATTTTATCAGAGAGAGTTTAAGGAGAATAAAAAACGGATATTATTTTTTGTTTTCTGGTGAGCAACAACTTCGAGAGTTACACTTCCCGTTAAAAAAAAACTGGAAAGATCCATGTCAACTGTTATTCAGAAATAACAAATATAAAACCGTTGTTATTCTAAAAGGTTAAAGTTGCTTTACATAACAGTGACTTACCTGTTGATGCTCCCGGACGAACATTTTCATTATTCGCTCTTCTAGATCCTGAATTTAGTGACAAATCAGTCAGTTTCCTTTCAAATCCAGAAGCTAAATAAAACAACAAGAGACCAATACACAAACAAACACGAAACTAACACAGTAACTTACGTAAATTAGTTTTAACCGTAGCACTTGCATAGCTATTCAGTGTGGAAGCGGAATGGGAAACACTTGAGTCAGTTCTCTAAAATAATCAATTAGGTTATGGCATATATATACACTCACCGGCAAAAAAACCGGCCACTACAAACTAGTCCCAATTTCAAAGTTGGATTTCTCGCGAACCACTCATTAGATTTTGCTGATTTTTTTTTAAATTGTAAATCAATTCCTTCTTAACGGATGCTACGTCAGAAATTTTTATTCCGAATTTATTTTGAGCATATACAGGGCACAACAGTAAGACGAAGTTTTTTGCCCGAACTTTGTAATACCCTGTAGGGCGCAGCAACTGTAGTAGCTATTGCTAAATCCAATGACATTGTAGCCTCATCTTTTGTGAGTATTTTGTTTTTTTAATCACGACATTATCTCCGTTTGTATTGGAGATACGCTGCTTTAAAACAAACGCCTCGAAAACAGCTTTAGTCCATTTCTCAATATCCCAATTCACATGTAAACGCGCAAACTGAAGACGTGCTCGACGATGTCTTGGAAGTAGCTGGGGTCCTGTGGCAGGCCTCCTTGCAGACAAGCTGTTTTCTTTGAGTCTTCGTCTGATTGTTCTCTCACTGACTTGAGTTCTGCGCACGGCTTGTAGCAGATTTTGATTCTGAAAAGCTGTAATTCTACGATTTCGTAAAGTATTCAGGACAATAAAGCGGTCGTCAATTGCATTTGTCTTCCGTTTCAGTACCGATTCCAGGCATCCTAGACTGTTGTTCGAGGTATACCCTGGGTATCGGACATATAACGTTGACTTCGGCCATCCTCAATTAAAGCCACAATACGAGCAACGTCAGTTACCGATAATGACATTTTTTAATTTGGCAACCGTTGTTGTCATATTGCAAATACTCATAAATCTGTTTTCGCCTATGTCGCCTTGATTATTTACACATAAAACTTTCTGCCTGCGAAGCATTTTTCCGAGACGTTCGTTTTAAAGCAGCCTATCTCCAATACAAACAGAGATAACGTCGTGATTAAAAAAAAAACAAAATGCTCACAAAAGATGAGGCTACAATGTCATTTGATTTAGCGATAGCTACTATAGTTGCTACACCCTACAGGGTGTTACAAAATTCGGGCAAAAAACTTCGTCTTATTGTTGTGCTCTGTATAATATGCTCAAAATAAATTCGGAACAAAAATTTCTGACGTAGCATCCGTTAAGAAGAAATTAATTTACAATTTAAAAATGAATCGGCAAAACCTAATGAGTGGTTCGCGAGAAATCCAACTTTGAAATTGAGACTAGTTTTTAGTGGCCGGTTTTTTTTGGCGGTGAGTATATTACACTATATCGCTAGTTACGAATAGAATAGAAATTGAAGCCAAATTTTTGAGATGAAGCTATACAAAATCCACATAAATCGGTCCTTTTCGTTCAACAGCTTTGAACTACGCAAAAGTGAGAGGTGCTTCTCGACTAGTTGATTTATTTTATACTAACCAATAGAAGTAGTTTTCTAAGTTTCTATCTACCACGTAAATCAATTTAGCGTCTGACTATTCGCGCCTTTACTTATGAATTTAAATTTAATCTCTGATATATTTAAACAAAAATATCTAAAATAACAGGTTGAAATAATGCCATTACCAATTAAAAAACAATATATTATACATTATTATTATTTAGAGTTTAAAACAGTGCGCGGACAGGTGACAGCGTTTAGCAATGAAGTAGACGAATCAGATCGTTTTATTTGGTGCGTGCGCACAAAAATCCTGTTGAACAAAAAGGATAGACTTGTGCAAGCTTGATATTCCTATTTCTTTTCTTTGGCTTCACTTTCTACTCATTGTGTAAATGCGGTACTAGCAATATATTCTTATAATATATTTAGTATATATAGTCCTTGGGAACATTTGTATTGTGAAAATTAGATGTTACAAAGATGATGTATGCTTTTTTTGTCTCCTTATGTTATTCTGCTGCGGTTGGGTAAATCCCAAAATACCCGCTAGTGCTCCCCTACTACCAGATTTTGGTTGAAATCATACGGTATCTCCGTTATTCGTGAAGATAGAAGGATGCGGTTTGCACAAACCAGGGCCACTGTTTTGTCAAACGGAAGATGTCCTAAACAAAATTTTCATAGCCCTCTTCGTTTTTGAGCTACAGGGTGTTTTTGAAAATTTTGCAATTTAGGAGACCCCATGTATCTCTGTTATTGTTAAAGGTACTGAGACGATAAAAAATGTTTATTGTAGAACTTTTTGCGTAGAATACAGTGGCGTAGTCTGTTATTCTTCGAAAATAATATTTTTAAAGATATGAACTAAAGTTATGTTTTCTTAAATGGAGCACCCTGTATATTTATAAATTATGATCTGGCTTGCCATAAGCTTCTCAAAAATATATAGCACTCTATATTTATTTTCACTATTTAATGCAATATTTAAAAAACAATAATTATGAACATCTGGAAAATGCTTTATAATGCAAGCTTTTAGATATTTGCAAACCCATCCCATTATAATAAATTCCGTTATAAAAAAGTGAAAAATATATTCAGAGGTTGAGTGGTAACAGTTCAAAAGTAAAATATATAAATTTGAAATAAAATTTTAATATGTGTATGTCTATTTTAGTAAATACCATTTTAATTTTATTATTTATCATGGCCTACTAATAAGAAAATGATATATTTTAAATATTGCAGTAATTAGTGAAAATAAATATAGAGTGACATATATATTTGAGAAGCTCATAGCAAGGCGGATCATATGATTTATAAATATAGATGGTGTTCCATTTGAAAAAACATAACGTAAAAGTTCTACAAGAATCAGTTTTCACCTTCTCGATATCATCCATAATAGCGGAGATACGGGGGCTGTCCCAAATTGCAAAATTTTCGAAAAGACCCAGTAGCTCAAAAACGAAGAGGGCTATGAAAATTTTGTTGACAGCATCTTCCGTTTGACCAAAAAGTGGCCCAGGCAAATACGTTTAAATAAAATATACGACGGCCTCCCCATAAGAGCAATGAGAGGATTTACGTCCCAGTATTGAAGGAGGGCAGAAAATCGAGTCGAATGGTTTCAAGACATAGGTTCATCCTTGTTTAGTCAAACCTCCTACAAACCAAGGATAGACTTATGTAGGAAATGCATTGAAATTCTATAGCCATCCTTCAATATCGGGACAGGAATTTAAGCGGTACCCTCCGTATACTTTATTTTAAACGTATTTGGGCCCAGGTTTGTGTAAACCGCATCCTTCTATCTTCACGAATAACGAAGATACCCTATGATTTCAACCAAAATGGGACACCCTGTACAAATAGGAAACAGCTTTCCTCAATTCATTGTAACATATAACTCACCGATCGCCCTTGACTGCTACCTCCAAACATTGATCCATTATTTCCACTTGTAAAAGTAGAAGTGTCACTAACTACAGACTCACTGTCCCAAGTGTCAGCAACCGAATCGGTGTCGCTTTCAAAACCCTAAAAGCAAGAACTAGGATATATCTTTAATTAATTAATAATTAATACATTCGTGATTATAAAACAATCAACTTTTAATCAAAAGTTTATTGTTTTATAAGCTAAATATTAGGCTTTCTCTATGGATACAACCACAGATTATACAGATTATAATCTTTGTTTTTTCTTTATTGTTTTTCGTGGTTCCAATTTTCGGAATCGGGCACTAGTTAGGTGACTAGTTTGCGCACATAGCCCGCCCACTTATGGCCTCTAAACTTGTGCACAGCGCCTAACCGGCACAGTTATTAGAGAGATATCGGAAAACCGAATAGTCATCCAGTATTTACGCGTACCTTATCATGGTTACGACACGGTTACGATATGCGCGAGTCAATTTTTAACGCAACACCCGCTAATAACGTTACCGCCTGACGTAATTTGCGGATCAATTACACCAAGTGCTATTTCTAAATAACGTTTAAAAATTGCTTAAATGGGCATGTGCGGGTATTTGACAACCGGAGCCGGCCGGCGAGATCTTTTATTTTAGGTTATGTTTGAATTGTTTTGTATTATTGCTTTAGTTTTATTAGGTAATTTGATATTTAAGTAGCTGGGATTAGTTTTAATTATATAAATATGGCCCAAAATATGGATTCCACCTCTTCCGATACTAAAGAACCTATAAAGAGTCTTAGGTTTATAGCAGATGACGATTTAGCCCTTCTAAGAGAATTTGTTGCTTGTTGCCCTAAACCCATTGGCAGACGTTGAACAATAAAGCACTGGAAAGAAGCAGCCCTTTAGTTTTAAAATACCTAGTAAACAAAACAATTTCAAAGTTTTAAATTCAAAGTTAGGTTAAGTTTAAATAGCGGACGCGCCGCGATCAGAATTCTTTCCGGTCCGATAACGCCGATAACTATAAATGAAGAGAGTTAATAGAAAGTTAAAGCAAGGCACAATACGTATACGTATCTCTCGACACGTAACGCAGAAAACTACGTTACGTCTGCCCTTGCGTTGTCGTGTAAACAAGAGTTAAAGCAAGTATTTGACGTACGTAACGCAAATGGTACATTTGTAATTCTAAATTATTTTGTGAAACAATTTATTTAATTTTAAAACTGAAAATGGATATCTATTATTCCATTGAATCCGCATTAAATTTATAAAAGTAATATCGAAAAATGAAGAAAATTATAAATGGAAATTATTTTATTACAGAAAGTAGTCCTTACAACTTAAAATGCTCTTAGTAATAAAAAATATAGGAAAACAGACAGTTTTATGATTATTTATTAGATTCCATCTTTTAGAATCCTCATATGGATTTTGGCTAAGAACTAGCATATTTAATTAAATAGATTCCAAAATGAGTTTATTATGATGCTTAATATTTTCATACTAATTTATTGTAATATAATAGGCCCAGTTCTGTTACACTGGCCCCAAAATTTATGAAATAACTTAATTACTTGCCAGTTGTGGAAACGAATTGTTTGTGAATTTGTACGTTCGGCATCATTCGGGTGAAAATCGAAACTCCTTCGGCTCGATACGTTTGCGTTTTGTACGTACGTAAAGGCACGTAAAGATACGTATCACGTATCCGTAAACGCAAGTGAATTTCTCACTGCGCAAGCGTACATGTCAAACGATACGTTTACGTCTTTGGCCGTGCTTTAACTGTCTATTACCACCTCACGTAAAGGAAATAACACCTGACCTTATTAACGTCCATGCACGCTATTCGGTTTAGCCATATCTCTCTATTACGCTGTTTATTGTTATTTTACGCGAGTTTATTTTTGCGCACAGGAAATTTGACTCGTTTGCACATCGCCAATCACGTTAGAGTTTTTGACAAACACAAATGAATTAACACCCTTCAAATAACCACGCTAACCAACCTGATTGGTCAAGCTTAATAGTTGACTGCTAGGGCTAGACACTTCTATTTGTTGCAGTTGACCGGTCGACCCAATCAATACATCTGTCAGTACTTAAAGTTCTAGGGAGAGGTGTACGTCATGCGTTCAGCTTCACAATTTAATTACGTCTCGTGATACTTAATTTGTATATTTAATAACGAGTCGTTGTAAATTTCCTTATAGCTTGAATTTTTTTAAGTGCAAGCTAGAAACACTTGCATTTTTGGTAAAAATAAGTGGAATTGAGTGGGTGTTCGATAGTGGTCGCGCTATTAAAACTCTGAATTCAAAAATCGATATCACGAAATCTATTAGAAATAATAGATTGTAGTTTTTTCAAGAACTTTGTTAATATTTCTGCTGTGTTTTCTTTGTAGACATTATATTCATATATGAAGAAAAAAATATAGATAATCCTTTTAAATACTAAAAAAAATTACATTTCTGCTGTCAAAAAAAAGCGAAATTTCTTACCTTTCGGCTTCTACTGCTTCCAAATTGTGAGCTTCTAATGCTACTGCAATAACTAGACGAATCTCTGATAGTAGTAGCATTGTCCGATATGGTGGATTTCAATGGAACGTGACTACCCTGTTCTAGTGTTATATTCAAATCAGAGCAACAGTTGTCGCACAGCATGTAAGCATATCGTATCACTATCGACTGGCTACAGAAATGCGGCCTGGATGACACACTATGATACTAAAAACATGATTAAAAAGCTATAAGTGCGTTTAAGATAATTAAATAAGTAAGAAAACGGTTTTTCTTTGACTGTTTAACAATAAAATAAGTAAATGACATAAAACCTGTTATTTTCAAATAACAGTAACAGTTCCAACGATTATATAGAAATAACAGTTTAGCCCACTTCTGGTGTTCAACACAGTATAAACTTACCTTACAAGCAAGACCAGGTGTATGACAATACACATCTTTTTCGATTTCTCTGTCACTGATTGTAATCGTTTCCCATATGGGTCCGCCAGCTACGGTGTTTCTTAAGGTTAGGAACATCGACTGAAATAAAATTATATGTCTATAAGTGAAAGGTGTCAGAGACACATAAAAATTAAAGTTCTTTAATACAGCATTCAATAATAATTAATAATAAGTTAGATATAAACTAATGCTTAAGTAGATTGTTTAATTAACGATTTATTACTTATAATCAAATAACACAGTTGACCATAATTATTATTTCTAAAGAATAAGAGGTACAAACAGTGTTACCAACTATCCGAAATAGAATTTCTTTTGAAGACGGTCAAAATTCTCAGTTTTTTTCTTTTACTCAAAATCGACTGTAGACTTGGTGCATTTCAGTCGATTTCAACAAATTCCGACCGCAGCGCTTCAACGGCAGAAATCAGAAATTATCAGTATGTATTTCACGGCGTCGTCATGCTGATCGCATTAAAATAATATTGAAATCGTGGTTTTGTCATAATATTTAAGAATATTAGTTTTTTGCTAGTGCAGTTATTGAGACTATAAAATACTCAGGTACGAGGTTTGTGTGATGTAACGCTGTTTCGAGTAGTAAAACATAAGTAGTGAAAAGAATTCGAACTAGTATTGTTCGTATTGTTGTGGCAATTAATTTCAAATGTTAATAAAATTGCCGAAAACACGTGAAGGAGAGCGTCATTAGGGCGTTGTTGGGTGCAATAACATTCAAGAACTAAATTGTGGGATATTCAATTATCCCGAAACAACATTTTATAGCTTCATAGTCTCTCATACCTATTTGATCAAAAGCAAAAACGGATTCAAGCAGTTCAACGAAACAAGTGAGTAACAAAGTGCTCGTTACTTAATCAAAAAAATTAAATAGACATATACTATGAGAGGATAAAATATAATTTGCAATATTAATGGAATACTTTTTTAATCAATTAGTGAATAAATGTTTTATGAACATCTAAAATTATAATTATGTACCTTTAAACATTTTTGCAATAGCCGAAATAGCCCCAATTATGCCCCACTAGCAAAACCAGTGATTAAAACTATGCTCGCTACCGTAGTTGAAGTGATCTAAAAAGTATTTTTAGCTGGAATAATAAATTATAATACAAGTTAGACCTTCTGAATATGTCAAAATATTTACTTTTTTATTTTTATTTTTAGAACATTCACAAATTATAGTTTCTAACACTTTTAGAATAATTAAATAATAAATTTTTCGTATACTCGCTATTTAAACCCGTGTATTTGTATATACTAGTTGTTTACGATATTCTCCGATGGTGGCAGCACCGGCGGAGAATTCACCAAGCCTATAGTGTCGCCGAGAGAAAAATATTGGGGGACGGGTCCAAAAACCATTTATATTCCAAAGCTATTTTCAATCTTAGCTAATTAGTAGGTACATTAAAAGACTAAAAGAAAACACCATTTGAGATGTGGGGGACAAATATAACGAATGTAAAATTGAACATCTTTTTAAGAAGCAAAAAATTTTAATTTTCAGAAAACTAAAAGATTATAGATCGCTTGCTTACCTGTAGATTATAAATTTTAAACAAGTTCGTCTTGCCTTCAAACTGACCAGACCAGTCATCTAAAATACTCTTCACCATCTCGATGTGCCTCTTGTCCGCGAACATAATAGGGAGTCTCCGATTTCCTGGCGCTTTATTTTTCTAAAAGTATCATTTATAATTATTATAGAATTTTCTAGGCATTTTTATTTACTAATCCAGGGCAATCTTAAACCACAATTTTTTTACTTAAAAACTGACTCTGGTACTGATTTATGTCTCTCTATGTCAATACTATTTTGATTTTTTTGGCACACTATATAATATTAATACTAATTTAAATGAATATTAAAATTTTCATAAGTTTTAAGTTTTACATGATCAAAAAAAATTATAAACAATACCTCAAGAAAATCTAGCAACTTAAAATAAACTTCTTCTTGATTGTCTGGAGAATTGCTAGACAAAGGTATTTCCAATTCATGCGTTTCCTTTGAATGGAGCAAAGCTTCATGCTTGTACCCTTGAGGGAGATCTCCTAAAAATATATTTAAAATAATGATGTACTTAAACAGCCGTTAAACGGTAGCCTACTAAAATGCCGTTAATAGATATTGTGACGTTCATGTCGGCAGAAAGTCATGCCTGCCTATAAACACTGTGCAAGAGCACCTGTACCTCCGTGGCTAAGGCTATCGCTTCGTGAGCGCATGGTCCGTGGTTCAAATCTCACGCCGACCAAGACTTTTTTATATTTTTTTTGCTTATAGCGTGATCTTATTGCATTGGTTTCACTCTTTTTGGTTGGATTGGTTTAGTTATTTGGCTGGTTGGTTAGCGTAGTTATTTGGAAGGTGTTAATTCATTGGTTAGTTGGTTATTTGGTGGGGTTGGTTGGTTTTTTTACTAATTTATATTTGTTGTTTATATTTTTTTACCTGTGTCGAGGTTAGTTGCGTTGGTTAAGTTGGTAATTTGGTGGGGTGGATAGCGTTGGTTAGTCCTTATAAAATTCCTATATTTCATAAAACCATCAAGTGCGTCACATCAACGACGTCATGCCTATTAACGGCATTTTAGTAAGCTACCGTTTAACGGCAGTTTAAGTACAGCCTTAAAATAACAACTGACTTGAGTTAAAAATAACAGGTTTAAAGCTTGATTTTCATGCATCCGTTATCCGACGATACGATATTAATTGTATAGGTTGAATTTAAATACTTGATTTGGTTAGAAAATTACGCTGTTTAAATTTATTGCATTTTCATTACTCCGTTCATCGGATGTACGATTTGATTGTGATTGGTGTCATTTTATATTTTCATTTCCATAACGATTTCGCTGTTTTACTTATAGTCGAAGAGCTAGCAACGTTTTCGAGAGAGAATCTTAAGAATGCTGGTTCTTTAATACATCTTTTTAGTACAAGAGCTAGCAACGTCGGAAAACAAAGTATTTTAAGACGTCTGGCTCTTTGATATATCTTTACTATGATCTCTACAACAGCATGCGGTCCATCTGGCTGCCAGTAAACGTTGCGTTCCCTACTACCCTCTAGTATTGAATATAAGATCCTACATGTCTTCATAGCGCAGTGCGTAGAGTTTCCGACCACGAACCGATGATTCAGAGAGTTCGAATCCGGGTCAGGGCCAAGACATTTTTTATTTTATTTTCGTTTATATTGATTGTAAAAGTCTTTGACCTGACCCGGATTCGAACTCTGAATCAACGGTTCGTGGTCGGAAACTCTACGCACTGCGCTATAGAGACATGTTCGATTTATATTCAATACTAGAATTTATAGGACTAAATTAATAAAAATATAGGATCTTCTTCCGATGCGCAGTAGTGAACGCATCGGGTATCGGCAGCCACACGGGCCGTATGCTGTTCCAGAGAGCATAGTAAAAGATATATCAATGAGCCAGACGTCTTAAAATGCTTTCTCGAAAAAACGTTGCTAGCTCTTAGACTATTTTGTTATGCTCTCCTGAACAGAGTCTGGCTGCCGGCAGACGTTGCATTCACTGCTGCGCATCACAAATTCGCCCTCTATTTCAGGAACAAAGGAGGCTAGGACAAATCTATTTGTAGCATATTTAGTTTCATAAAAAGTAGCCAAGTAATGTGAAAATCGCATCATTGTATCTCTACTCATAAACGAGAAATCCTATAAAACACACGAAAATGGGATACCCTGTACAGATGTGATGCGCAGTAATGAACCGCAGTAGTCTACCGGCAACCAGATTTCCCGCACTTTATTATTAATAACCTTATGGGCGATTTCGTGGCACAAAACCTGTCCGAGATGTAGCTGGCGTTACCGTCAGCCTGTCCGAGAATTCCGAGATTTAGTTTAGCTCCGAGCCGCTGCGCGCTGATAGTCGTTTACAGCGCAGCGGATAAAGAATACTGTACTTCGTAACCGTAGTTCTGCTTTCAGTCGATAGAAGAGTGGTTGCCGGAGACAGTGTTGCCAGAACTACTAATTAATCCGTAGATTTACGGATTTTGAGTACAGTACGTTAATAATACGGATTTTCTATCATTAAACAATTTATTATAACATTATATGATTAAACAAAGAACAGCGTCAGAGTTGGCTTGGAAATAAAGATCACTGTTATTTTATAATGTACAATATTATGGTAAATGTCAATAATCGTCATTTCCAAAAGAACTAAACGACTTTTTCGATCATACGATATATTTAATATTTATAAAATAATTTTTCTTTTTGTGGTAGTGAGGTACCCCAATTAGCCTATTCGATTGGGATGCGAATCTGTTTAGCGGCAGATTTGCGTCCGGGGGAAGCCCCTATACTATTTCAGGTGACACTAGCTAGTTGTTGAAGATTATTAACCAATAGATCCGAATAATATTTGAATTAGATGGAAGATATGGAATGGGATATATTGAATAGAATGTCAGTGATGTCAGTGGCTAAAGGGCGGAGTACCCCCGGGTGAGTTTTACGATTTAACTATCAATTTTATCCAGATCAGTAAATGTTTGTTTTGTTATTTTCATGTACAATGAGAGACTACTTGCCAATGACCAACTAAATGGATATTTGAGGTGAATTTCTATTGTGAGACCTGGTTGAGTAAGCCCCAGAAATAAGCGATTTTACACTTTATTATGGCAACACTGTCGCTTTCAGATCTACACGTCTTCGATATGCCTTCGCTGGCCGAATTAGAGAAAATAAGTGTTTTATGCGCTGACCGCAGAGCGAATGGTGTCTCCACCGTACAGCACTTGAGACGTAAGGGGAAATCAAATCAGCCTTGTCACGAATTCGCCCATTAGGTTGCGTATCTTCCCAATAATTATTTCAATCAACGCTGAGGGTCTAAACGGCCCTTAAAACCCGCTTTAGGTAGGCTGAATTCCGTTATGATCGTAAGTCGACTAGTTGTCTAATGATTAGGCTGTTATAAGTATTTTTGTTTAAGTTTTTTTTTGTTAGGCTTGTTTGTTTTATTATAAAGGTACATTCAGGCTGAGAGCGTCGAGCGTAGCGTCGCGTTTGCGTGTCGAAATGGAATTAATTCACTTAACTTAAATTAGACCGTTCAGGCAGACAGCGTCGCGTTTGGCTTTGCGCTAGCGTCCGCTGAGAGTCGGGGTTCGAGTTCAATGGGGCGGACGCGACGCAAACGCGACGCGACGCTCTCAGCCTGAATGTACCTTAACAGTTACTTACCCGATTTGATCAGATAATGAAATACGTTTTCTTGTTTAACTCCCTCCAAAAGAGTGAACTTAACCACGCCAATTTCGGCAGGATAATATCGATTAGTAGCAGCATGTCTACAGAACGTGTTGAAGTGAATCATAAACCAAACTTCAGATCCCAACGCTAAAATTTATAACTTGCGATCAGCGGTTAATAGTACTGTAATAAGAGCTTTGAATAAAAATATTAAGGAAAGAGCATATCAAAAATCTAACATCGAACGCGACGGGCTCCTAAAATGGCCGACTTAAATTACGGTTTATCAGTGCCGTTCTAACTTTATTCAAAACGTGTAAAAATATGATGTAGTGTAGACGTGGGATAATATTTATTGTGTGGGACTCAATAATTAGTTGTTTTATTTTACGTTGCGAATAAATGTTGGTAGTTATTAAAATTGTTATAAAAATATATAATTCTAATAAAAATATAAGTTATAATAATTATTTATTCACACAAACATCCGATATGCCACTGAAGCAGGTAAGTTAAATTTACGTATCTAAATTCTTTGACATCTAATCTTAAACACATAGTAAATAAAAGCAAAAATGCAAGAAAAAATATATAATTAGTTAATTTTAAGTGAATTTCGTGAGTTCTGACTGAAGCTTTAGATTAGTTTACTCTTGATAGCGGTAAATATATTTGGCCGAAACATGTAAGTAAAATAAATAGACAATGGAAGTCGGAAATTCTTTTAGTTTCAATACTGAATCATTCCCAAGTAGGATTTTTGGACACATTTTAGGTCTAATAATTGTGTGTCTGTTTTTTGAGACAAAATGGAAACGGTACGCTACAAATAGGAAACATTTTAGAAACTTATATATTTTATCAATATCAATATGGTGGCACTAGCCGTTTCCTGCAATGTTTCGATGCAGTATCAAAAATTTTAGAGGAAATGTTTCGAAACGTTTTCTGCAATTTGTTCCCAAGATGTTCCCATTTTCAGCAGTCACTGTTTCTAACTGTGAAGAAACAAAATACCAAACTAAAATAGTCTATGTCTGTGTGTGGATTTCAAAATGAAAAAAACAATCAACAATGTTGACCTCTACCATAATTTTTTTGTCTTGAAATTTTTATTTTCAGGTTTTCTCGCACAAAAAATGTCTAGCAAAAGCAAATTCATTGTTTAATTTAATAATGTACTTTCATATTTTTAATGCCCCTTCTATATATAATTATTTGTTGCTACAAAATATTTTTGTTTGAAATATAGATTTTTATTTCTATATCATAGTTCTGAAAATAAAAATAGTATAAAAATCAATGTAAGTAGAATGCGTTCTTATGAGTGTAAAAGCTGAACAGCCGATAAAAACATCACATTTTTAGTTAAAAACGCTAACACTACCCAACATGGCGGAATTTTAATTCTTTATTTTATAAAATGGATATGGAGTCGGACACAAATCATCTACATTATATCATATTTGTGTCTGAAAAGAGAGAAACTCGTGTTTCGAAAATGAATCGACAATAATTGGAAACTTTTGTTTCCAAAATGTTTCGATTTAGCGCTATCTATGAGTAGAAATTTCGAACTAGTTGCCTGTCAACAACGCCAATCAAAAGAGAATTTTTATTTACTTATTACAACACAAAACATAAAAACATGTATTCTATTGTGGAAAAAAAGAGAAAAAAACGTTTGCTGGTAACATTTTTCTTCGGTCTACTGTTGGGTATGGGTAGTGGCAGTTATTACATTTATTCCTAAAACATTCCCTACTCACCATTATATCCCTTCTTCTGCTTTTTTAATTATAGTACAATAAAAACTTGAAGAATGCATAAATGCAAAAAACTGCAGAACAAAATACATTCAATAAAGTAAGGTTATGTTGCCACTGCATTTGACAGAATATGAAATAAATTATGGAAACTTTTCAGACACAAAACGGGTACGAAATCTTGGTAAACGTGACCCATATCTGTTTCTTAAAAGTTTCGAAAAAATTTTGACGCGAAGATATTGTTATAGCTTATGTAGCAAAACCATATATTGGTAAAATGTTTCGAAACCAAAAGCGATTTATGTTACGAAACATATGTATCAAAAATGTGAGAAACTGTTTTGTTTCGATTTTGTGTCTAAAAATGCTACTTGGGAATTGTCTAGCACATTCAAATGAACAAAAAGTGAGTCACGCCGATCGAATGAATCGGATTACAAGTTGCCCATATACCCGTAGTCTTCGTTTACTTATTTCTCTGAGTCCTTAATACATAACAAAAAATATATAAATATTTACAATCTCTGCTGTTAGAGGCGGAAATTAGATTCTTCACTTCCTCTTTCTCCTGTTGTTCTTGTTGAATTTTCAGGTTTTCCTCCCTGACCAAATCATCGACCAATATTCCTTCCGAAGTGTACCTTCCCGGCGCCACTGCATTTTTGAGATGGGATGCCCGGTCTTTGAACCGTTGCCGTTGTTGCTGGTTCATGTTCTAATAAAAGTTAATAAAATTTATGATTTTTCTGAATCCGTGGTCTAAAAATGCGTAAGATAATGAAGAAAATGTACAGAATGGATCAAATTGGACCCTTTTAAATGAAAACACCCTTTTCTAAAGGAGATAGACGAAACAACAACACATTTAAACTATATCTAATAACAACAATGATAAATAGCAAATCAAGACAGGAGATTTTGCTGCAGGTGTTTGAAATGTCGATCGTCTTCTCTTATGTACAGGGTAGGTCAAATTGGATGCTTTTAAAGGGAAACTCCCTTTTCTATAGGAGTTGGACGAAAACTAATATCGGTGTCTGGAGCTCTATTTTTATCAGAAATATGATGGTAAAAACCGCACATCGATATCTGTTACTGTTTCGTAGTTACGGGGTGTTTTTCAAAAATGTGCATTTTTAACAAATCGTAACTTTTTTTCTATGTAGAATTTAATGGTTTAAGTATATTTTTTATCATTTTTGAGTTATCAACAGAAAAGTTGATTTTTTATATGGGACACCCTGTTTTCACCATCATGTTTTTGATAAAAATCGAGCTCCAGACACCGATATTAGTTTTCGTCTATCTCCTATAGAAAAGGGTGTTTCCATTTGGACGCTTTTATCCAATTTGACCCACCCTGTACAGATCTGAACAACAGTGTAGGTAAAATATACCGCTAAGTACTTCTAATTTTTGTCTAGAGTATACGGGAAATTTAAAAATAAGATTCTTTAGTATTCCTCAAAGAAACAAATCCATAGGCGATAAGTCCGGTGGCCTAAACGGCCAACGGCTGGGATATTGTTAGCTATTCTATTACTTTTGAAAGCAGCTGCAAAAAATTGCTGATAATTTCAGCGGTGTGAGGAGGTGCCACGACTTGCAGGAAAAATATGTTTCCGAGTTCTATTAGGGGCAGATCATCAATAAGGCCAAAGTATACCAAATAGTTGAAACTGGCGAACTTTTAAAAATTCTGTATTTCGAAAAGGACTCAACAAAATATCAAGTGTGATATATGTTTAGAAAGGTAATTTTAAGCTCTTTTCGGTGAATGAAAAATATATCTAAAGGGTCTGTCATATAAAAAATAAATTTTTGTGTTGATAACTCTTAAATTGTTACTTTAAAAAATACCGGGTGCGTTTCAAAAGTGGCTCACCCCTATAACTTTTTTTATTTTTTCAGACAAAAAACGAGATTTGATATGTTAGTATATGACATAAATTAGGATTGATTGACGTATTCAATTGTTTTTGGTTACTTTCTGTTTCACCGGAAATGACTACAACTTTTGATTTTTAAATGACACCCACGGTATTTTTTTACTTTATTCGATAAAAAATGACATTCTGAATAGACTGACATATCATACGTCAACTTTTGACATTTTCGCATATGGTTTATCTGAAATTATAACTTGCGGTTCGTAATGAAAATTTGATTCGAAATACCAAGTGTGTGGTATCAAATTATTCGTAAAGAAATGCTTTTTCCAAATATGCTAATGAGACACCTTCTTTCCATTTGAAAAAATTGAGATATGATTAAAAATACGATTTGGGCATTTTCTAACTGGCCAGGACAAGGCACTAAAAATTTAGACGATCAAATCAATTTTTCCAAGGCTCATTGATTAAGAATTAGCGTTTTTAACATAGCCATGGCACTCTAGATTGAAATTTAAATACAAATTTGTATTAAGCGAGAATGTCAAAAGTTGACATATGATATGTCATTCTATTCAGAATGTGATTTTCTATGGAATAAAGTAAAAAAATACCGTGGGTGCCATTTAAAAATCAAAAGTTGTAGTTATTTCCGGTGAAACAGGAAGTGACCAAAAACAATTGAATACGTCAATCAATCCTAATTTATGTCATATACTAACATACCAAATCTCGATTTTTTATCTGAAAAAATAAAAAAAGTTATAGGGGTGAGCCACTTTTGAGACGCACCCGGTATATATTTAAACCGTTAAATTCTACATAAAAAAGATACTTTAGAAATGTTCTCATAAAAGCGCAAAAAAGTTAAAGGGATTTGTTAAAAATGCACATTTTTGAAAAATACCTAGTAACTCTGAAACGGTAAAAGATATCAAAGTGCAGTTTTTATCTTGTTTTTGATAAAAGTTGGGCTCCAGACACCAATATTAGTTTTTGTCTATATCCTTTGAAAAAGGGCGTTTTCCTTTAAAACTGTCCAATTTGGCCCATCCTGTACAGTACGACGACACGGAGACTCCAAGGAGAATGACAGTTTTTATTGATATGAAATTCTGGGAGCATAATATGTTTGGTTTGGTCGTGGTTTGCCCAAAAAAGTTACTCAAATTGGAAATATAAATCTACATCTGCTTCTTAACGTGAAAAAAAGATAAGAGTATAATTTTATTCAGTGTCTACATCCATAAATTTTTGTTAAATTAACGAAGGAATATCACAGCCACCTAGATTTTATCAAATAATAAAGATCTAGTGACAGTAAACCATTAAGATTAAAATATCTATGAAAATCTTTGTCTAAGGGGCAGGCAACCTTAATATTATTTTGAAGAGACATGAATTCTCCATTGAACATCGAAATAATATACTGGGTGTTCATTTTAAAATAAAAGAGTAACTTGCATTTAAATATGACCAATGCAATGTTCCAATATTAATTTTCTCACCCTGTATACTTTTTCGGGTCAAATTTTAATTTGGTTTTACACACAGTGATTATTTTAACTAAGTATTAGGCTATACAGGGTAAATTACAATTTAGGTAGCTGTCATTGAAATTCAAAATTTATTCTTCATTTTCACAAAATGTGAAATATGTCAAAAACCTTACATTTTAGTCATATGCATCTTTAATCAAACTCACCTTCATTTTTTTCCTAGGATCCGAAAATTAACTAATATATAGGGTGTTCCATTACAAAAAAAAACACAACTTCGATGCGTAACTGTTTTTGGGAACAACCTGTAGAACTTCAAATATTTTTATAAAATGCTTTTAATCAACCTACATACGCTTCCAAAATTTCATTTTAATATAAACTACCGTTCTCCTTGCAGTCTCCGCGTCGCATGAGAGGCGCCAGTCTGTACTAAAGGAAATTCAAAAATGTGTTAAAGCAAAACCAAGAAGAGAAAGTGGACCTATGTATTTCATCTCTGGCAGTATTGCCGGTTTCGGGTACAGGACAAGGTTATTAAATTAAACGGGTCGCCTCGTAACTATGGACCAATCACAGTAGTCGATGCGATTACTTAAAAAAATAATAATAATAATAATGGCACAAATTAAACTGTTTTTCTATAAAATCTTTATTTATTTTTCTTTAATTTTGCTGACATTTAATATTTTTAAGCAATACTTGTATTCGAAAAAAGAATAGTTTCAGCTTTTCACTATGTAAAATTAGTCTTCTTATTCAAAGTTTTAGCTCTATTGTCATAATTTTAAACAAACTGTATATAAATATACAGGGTTGTTCACCACATACGACACGGAGTATTGTAGCTAAACGATTAGATATTTAAAAATTATAAGTTTTGGGTTTGTTGAAGGACTATTATAGCTACAATTTAAAAATATTTTTACAAGATACAGAGTGTCCCAAATAAATAAAATATATCAAAGTTGTATTTTTTTAAATGGAACATCCTGTATATTATTACATTTTTCGTTTCTATCATTAAAATAAAGGTAAATTTGATTAAGCTTTATCACACTTAAACCATGCCGTTTTTGAAATATTTTCAATTTTGTGGAATTGCAGTAAAAATTTTAAGGCTTCATTTCTACAAGGGTATCAAAGTTTTTAATAGTAAATATTTACTGAAGTTTATTTATTGATCAGTTATTGTGTTGCAATAATAAAAATAATACTACCACATACAGAATGTCAAAAAATTTATATTATATAATTTCTAGCTTTAAACGGCAATAACTTGTTTAATTTAAATGAAACACCCTGTATATTTAACGAAAATCAGATGCACAATTTAATTATCTATCAAATTGTATTATACCATTTTTTACCTATCCCCTCAAGTTTTTGAAGAAAATGTATTTTCTTATAATTTAGACCTATGGAATATTGACATTCTAGATTGTTTTTAGAGCACCACATGTACAAAATGTACAGGTGCTAAAAACGATAATATTACTAGCCCATTTGTATACAAAAAGAAAACTATTTAAATATTTATAAAAGAGTATACCATTAATTAAATATTCCACCATTATTTCCGTCCAAATATTAATTAATTACATACTTAATTGTGTTAGTTAATAAATTATTCTAAATAAATGTGGATTTGAATCAGAAATCAATATAATAATAAGTCAAGTTATGAAACTAAACGTCTATGTTGTTATAAATATATCCAAAAATTAATCAAAAAATGAAATAAAATTTTTAAGGTGTTACTTTTTACATTACACTGTCGACAAAATATACACATACAAAATTCAGTTTTTTAGAATATGGAGCAATTATTATTAATTAACGCAAATAGTCAATTAATGTAGTTTGAGTACTGGAATCATATTATAATTTTTTCTCTTTAACAAATATTTAAACAGTTTTTTATTATTATTTAATGAAATAAACGACCTATAACAACAATATTAGTATCTGTACCATAGACTTAAAATAAAATATAGACTACACTATTTACATCTCAACGCGGACAAACAACCTTTTTTGTACACATGTTTACTTCTGGGTACAGTCGACCGAGCCTTCCTCATCCAGCCTATGTTGTCACGTCTTTAATATTATCAATATTTTTTTTTCTTGTTATACACATATATTGAGATATTAATACTACAGTTTAATAAAGTAGGTTTTAATATTCCATAGATGTATTAAATAGTCCTTATACTACTAAATTATAAGTCGGATACTGTTTAATAAGGATAAGTTCTGTACAATATGACAACACCGATTAGAGGCGAGGGAGCCTATTCATTCATTTATTACCTTGTAGTACGTGTCGCACGTGTGCAGTAAAGCTTTGTTGCCGCTATCTCCCCGGCTGTATTAACGCATTTTCTTAGCTTGTAGTCCTTAAGTGTTTATTTTATTGACTTTTTCTGTTCAAAAACTATAAAATATAGTTCGCCAGTGCCAAACTTGCAAGAAATTTGACTTAAATAATCCATTTAAGTCTTGAAACGACTTTTGACCGGTAGGCAACTCTCAATTTACCCATTGGCAGTCAGTGGCGTTGTTGTAGAAAGGCGCTTATTTAGATAATATTTTAGTAAAATGTAAAATCTGAATTTTTTCTTTTATATTACATTATTTACTTACTTACATTGTAACAAAATCATAATTATAACCCTGTTAATAATTAATAATGTTTTTATTAAAAATATATTCCGGTTTATTCTAAAATTATCTTCAGAATCTAAAATAACATACAAGAATTTTAAAATGATATTACACTATGAAACAATATTTTTTAATATACCGGGTCGTCTCAAAAGTGGCTCACCCCTATAACTTTTTTATTTTTTTCAGATAAAAAAAACAGATTTGTATGTTAGTAGGTATATGACATAAATTAGAATTTATTGACGTATTCAATTGTTTTTGGTCTCTTCCTGTTTCACCGAAAAGATTACATCTTTTGATTTTTAAAGGCACCCTCGGTATATTGCTACTTTATTCGATAAAAATGACACTCTGAATAGAATGACATATCATATGTCAACTTTTGACATTGTCGCTTAAAACATATCCTATTTTAAATTTCAATCCAGTTTTTTCAATCCACTAAGTTTTAATCAAGGAGCCTTGGAAAAATAGTTTTGATCGTCTAATAGGTTTCGTGTCTTGTCTAGGCCGGTTAAAAGATGTACAAATCGTATTTTTTAATCATACATATGTCAATTTTTTTCAAATGGAACAAGGGTGACTCATTAGCATATTTGGAAAAAGCATTTTTTTATGAATATATTGATACCACACACTTGGTATTTCGAGTCAAATTGTCGTTATGAACCGCGTGTTACAATTACAATTATACCATATGCGAAAATGTCAAAAGTTGACATATGATATGTCATTCTATTCAGAGTGTCATTTTCTATCGAATAAAGTAGAAATATACCGAGGGTGCCGTTTAAAAATTAAAAGTTATAGTCATTTCCGGTGAAACAGGAAGTGACCAAAAACAATTGAATGCGTCAATAAATCCTAATTTATTTCATATACTAACATACTAAATCTTGTTTTTTATTTGAAAATATAAAAAATTATGGGGATGAGCCACTTTTGAGACGCACCCGGTATAATAAAGACAGTACCGAGTTAAATAAATGTAGTTTTTATTTTATCCACTTCCTATCACCTTCCTTGCTTTAATGGAACAGATTTATGTTTTCTCTAATTTACATAATAAGACATCACTTAACCAGAAAAAAAATTACAACAATCATATTTTTTTTTCTCTCCCTGTCGTCGATTCTATTATATCTGTGGAATAGATCCTGTTTTGATTAATATTAGGGGTTGTAAATGTTTGACTAAAATGAATAATTTATTATTAATTTCAAAAATTACCTAATTTCGATTATAAAATTTCTTCTATAACGTGTATTTTATTATTTTTATCCTTTTTGGACTCTAAATTGTTTTTTCTAAACTTTTATTTAAAAAACCTGTCCTAAATCTTAATAAAATATAAAAAAGTTTAAATACGATATATTTTTAATTTAATTATAGCTTCATTAAAATAAAAAAATTAACTGTAGCAACTCTTTAAAAATTTGTTACATTTTTAAAATTAATCTAAAATGTCAATATTCCATAGGTATATATATAAATGAGGTCTAAATTATAAGAAAATGCATTTTCTACGAAAACTTGAAGAGATAGATAAAAAATGGTATAATACAATTTGGTAGATAATTAAATTGTGCATTCAATTTTCATAAAATATACAGGGTGTTCCCTTTAAATCAAACAAGTTATTGGCGTTTAAAGCTAGTAATTATTTAAAATAAATTTTGAGACACACCTAAGGTAGTATAATTTTTATTATTGCAACATAAAATTTCGTAAATAGAAATACTTCAGTAAAATATTTGGCTTTAAAACTTAAATACGCCTAGAGGAATAAAGCCTTACAATTCTTACTGTATTTTGACAAAAACCTAAATATTTCAAAAACGGTACGATTAAAATGCGGTAAATCTTAATCAAATTTACTTTTATTTTAATCGTAGAAACTAAAAATGTAATAATATACGGAGTGTTCCTTTTAAAAAAATACAACTTTGATTTTATGATGATTTTATTTATTTGTGACACTCTGTATCTTGTAAAAATATTTTTAAATTGTAGCTCTAATAGTCCTTCAACGAATCCAAAACTTACAATTTGTAAAAATCTTATCTTTAGCTAAAATTAGCTCCGTGTCGTATATGGTGAAGATCCCTGTATCCACTTTAATTAGTAAACTCAGTTTTATAAACTTTAGTGTCCTGCTTATTATACAGGGTTAATCGAACGGTTGTTTTTTATCATAATTTTAAAACACCCTGTGCGATAATTTTGTGAGAAAATTTCTCTTAAACAATATTTCGCAGTCAGAACCATGTCTCCTGATCATTTTGTTTTTTCACTCATGTCAACACATACCTTGATTAATTTTTAAGAGCGAAAAAACTTACAAATTAACTTAATAATCCAACAATGTGCAAATTTCTCAATTTTTATTACTTTTTGATGTTACCAGAGATTGTCTCTAATGTTATTTTTTAGTACGGCGATGTGACTTAGGTGACTATTATAGGGTTTCCGAAACCGGAGCTGTTTTTCTGAACCGGGAATTTCGGTACCGCGCCTCTTAGGGATTCCCGGTTTTTCGGTACTGACTAATTTTTGTTCATTGGTGGTGCAGTTCATCAATCAGAAAGCAAGGGATGGTTTTGCAAAGTAAAATGGATAAAAAATTAGGATTTTTAATGAAAATAATATGAAATTATTAAGTAATCATTCATGAGAAAATTAACAGAACACAAGCAAAGAAAAAAGTATAGGTAACTTAAATTTCACATCAAACAACATAAACCAACTTCACTGAATTTGAGACAAAGGCCCCAAAATATTGAATTAAAAATGTAAATATCTAATAAAACATAACATAATAAATATTATAGGAACTTCAAAAGAGAAAAGAAGCAATAACAATAAGAAATAGCATCATTACTTATTTAGAAGAGTTTGATTTCCACCGCTAGAAAGTATTAAAGGACTTTCTCATGTAACAAAAAAATAAGATGCAAATGCCTATAAAAACATAACACAAAAAATATAACTAATACATTTGATTAGTTATACATTATAACCCTTCATTAACCCTGTATAAGCCAAGTAAGTACTAAAGTTTATAAAAAATTAAGTTTACGAATTATATTTATGTTATATTTTGGTAAAAACTTCTTTTTAAATGACTTTCATGCCAAAATCGGGAAAATCTGAGCTAATTTAAACACACTATTGCTAATAAATTAAAGCAATGATTTTGTTCAAGCAAGTACCTATTTATATCATGTCATCATATCATATCTATTTTTTTAAAAAAATACTTTTTATTTTTTTTTAATTAAATGAAAAACAAAAAATTCGGCGACGACAGTTTTTAGAAGAGCCAATTAGCTATCTTTTAGTAAATAAAGCAAGTTTCTAGAGCAAGTCTTTACTTCATTAAAGATGGCACAGATAAACATTAGCATTTTATATATGTAGATTTATTTCAATGGTTCAAAAAACATGAGCACCTTACTATATGTCGATAAAAAGGTTTTTAAACAAATATGGCATGATGGCTACCATAATACATTCATCCTTCATCACATATTTTCTGAAAATAGTTATGGAGGAGCCTTTTTCATGATCTTTTGTTTAATAAATTATGGGGGAAGGGGGAATTTAAATTATAGTTTACTTTTTTAATGATGATCTACCTTCAAATAATTTCTATGAACTATGACATGTAAATAAAACAACTGAAAAAAGCAAGAGTACAAAAAATGCAAGGGTCTTGCATGCTAGGTCTTCCACGGGTCAAGTAAGTACTCATTTAAGCCTGGGTAGACTTTAAACGTTACTCAAACTTATAAATATTGCAAACAGGAAACTAACTTGCCACCTTCAGTACAATAACTGAGAGCTCTCTTTGCTACAGATTACCTTAATGTCCCTATATCTTAGAATAATAATGCATCAATATGAATGACCAAATTGTGTTTTATTTTATTTGCGAATTTTAATTATTAAGGGAAAGACCACTTTTTTGCACAGGGCGAAGAAAGATGACACAGTAATATACAACATATTGAAGCAAACTTATAAAAGTATGCTGCTAATGAAATAAATATACCTGCCAAAGAGGCCCAGCTACACTAACTGCTTGCTCAGTAGATCTTATATTTCTTTGCTGTTGTAATTCATAAACAAACTCCATAAAGGCGTTTGGTTTGGCTTGCTTTTTTGGCGCCATGGCACATACAAGTCCGGTATGTACTTATGTAGCAGATAAAAACAAACTGAAAAAAAATACATATTCAAAATTTGCCTGTAAAATGTTCACTATTAATTACCACACCACAGTACCGACTGACACAACAACTAATCTCTGAAACAATCTTAAAACACTTAAAACTGCAATTCAAGCAGTTTTACAAATAGTGTGGCTCAAGTTTCAACAATTCTTTTGACAAAAAACGAAACGAAAAAATGTCCAAATCCTAACCTAAGATTCTGTTGATAACATGATAACGTCAAGCGTCAAGTTGTATAGTTCTCTATTATCTATGGTCATATAATATTCAAACGGTTGTATTACTGGTTGCATAACAAAGGAAAAAGTTCTGCTTTATAAAAAAAAACAAATTCATAAAATGTAATTAATTTATTACAATATAAATATATTATAATCAAAAGTAAAGCAATAAATAGTTAAATCTACTGTACAAAAATAAATAAATTAATATTTACAAATAATGGTATTAATGTTAAATTGTATATATCACTATTTTTGAGAACGAAATGACATGAAAAGCATGAGTATGAGTTTCTATGAGCTCTGAGATAAGCATAGGAACATAATAATTTTTGGGAAATATATTAATTCCCACAGAGATCATTTCTTGGAAGATATTTAGTGAAAAGTCGAAGAAATTCTTCGAATGGACAGAACTCTTCACAGGATGGTATTTTCAAAAGTACAGGTTCATCGAAATCGTAATTTTGGTAAAATATCTGAAACAGAAATGGACACAAAATTAATATTTTAAAGAATATCTTTTTGTCATTTCAAAAACTAAAAAATATCATGTCATATAACCACAGCTTTTTCATTATAGGTATATACGTTCGTTTATGCTATGCAAATGCTATGAAATACAGGGACTTTTATTCTAGGAACAGAATAAAAAAATTGAGAATTTTGTTTAAGTGCAAACCTAAAGTATGTATCAGGATGTATTTCAGGAAAATATTTTAAGTTTTATAGGGTGGCTCAAGAAAGTGTGATAGTGGACTTGGATGATTTTTTTAAAATTGAACATCCCCCTGTATATTATTGTATAAACCTAAAAAAATTATTAATAATTATTAATATCTCTGAAACTATCGAAATATATTTATTCATATCTTAGGGTTATGTAAAGCGATCTGAAAGGAAGCCAAAAATGCAATAATATACAGGGTATTCCATTTAAAAAAATCATCCAGGTCCACTCATACTTTTTTGAGCCACCCTATAGAAGTTAAAATATTTTCCTGAAATACATCCTGGTACATACTTTAGGTTTGCATATAAACAAAATTCTCAAGTTTTTTTATTCTAGGAGCTACAGATGCCCAACGCACTATTGCCGGACCCTGTAGACTCACCCTGTATATATATCATGAAATATGGTGTCTTTTAGTATGTACATCTAGTTTTGAGAAGAATAGTATTATAAAATATTTCTAATTAAAAAATATAAATAATATGGTATTTTATAATTTTGGAACAGCTTTAAATATGCAGAAAATTTCGTCTAAAAGTGATTGTATTTCAAAAACCACTCGGTATAGAATCTGACATTAGTATATCCGGAACAGGGTTGCCACAAGAAAAATTTTGATTGTGCAGAACTTTACCACACAAATGTGTAGCATTGTGTAGCAATCCATGACCAATAATTGAAAACTATCCAATAAGACCAAGAATAAGACGTAAAATCGCCAAATTTTAAAGCATAATTACGAGTCTCGGTAATAGTCTCACTTCCACTCGTTTGTATACGCCAATATATTCATTTCCCATTTCATTTCCTCTCATGCCAGCAAATATTGCAACGACGTCAAAATTGATGTCGCGAAACTAACGATTTTATGGAAAAATTAGACCGGTTAAAAAAGTCTGTTTAAAAACTGTAAACAATTCAGGACTGTTTAATCGGCCAAATTTGTCCATAGAAACTGCAGTCTTTGCTGATATGGGAGGAAAAGTGAAATAGGAATTGAATATTATTCACGTATGCCAACGAGTGGACCGAACTACTGTGAAATTTGGCCTCTGAATTTAAGTTTTAATTAATTAAGTAATCCTGTCTATTTACCGTTTTTGACTCGACCAATAGATGACCGAAAATGATATTTGTCAGTTCAAAATTTAAAGTTCACTTGCGGCCTCTTTTAATGTAACTTAGATAACTTAAAAGCAAAAAAAAACAGCTTTTATCAGCTGATTTACTGTTCTGGTATTATTTTTTATAATAAATATGTAAATTCTCAAAATGTGTAGCACAGGCCATTGTGGTGTAGCTGTGCAGTCACGGAAGCAAATGTGTAGCAAAATACACAATTGTGTAGCTTGTGGCAACCCTGATCCGGAATAGAAGGGAATGGGCATTTAATGACAAGCCATTGAGCTAAAAATATACAGGGTGAATTTTAAATAAGTGCACATATTTATAGGGGTGGTATATTTTGATCGTCGCACCTCTACAACTATTTATATTTTCAGACTCACTCAAGAAGAACTATACTAGAACTTTAAAAAATTACCTTAAATCCATAAACTCCTTCGATTTTGTGAACCTCTACCATCACGTGAGCTCCATACTTGGGAATGTGCCTCTCAAAAACATCTAAAATTATCAGCAACTCAGCAACATTGTTCTCGTGAGCCGAGTACAAGTAAATCTTTTTACTATCCTCAATCCCATTGATTTTCTTCGTTGTATCATCAATAATCTTCTTTAAAAGATACCCAGCAGCAATTCTCTTCAAATCATCTGTACCCATAGACACGCGGTATTCCCTTGATGCTATATCAATAATTTGTTGAGGCCAGACTTTTTTAGTCCATGCAGGCAGTTCTAGATTATTTTCTTGTTCGGTAGATAATCCAAAATAGAGGTTATAAACATCCTGGAAACGGGTAACGTTCAAGCCACTGTGCTGCGAGATGTAACTGAAAACTTTTCTGTATTTCTTGAACAAATTTCTCATGGGTAGTGTGTTGGAGTACTGCTCGTACAAAGTCAAGTAATTTGGACAGGTTACTCCCATCATTAGAGTGTCTTGACTTCTCGAAACATAGTTGTAGGGTATGGGTTGCCAGGGAAGTTGCTGGTCCCACGTTTGCTCTGGTGGTGGTGGATATAGTCCTGCAAGTACCAAAAGCAGGGAGGCTTTGGTTCTGTTGTAATCGGTGGTTGTAGCTTCGACTTCTCCTGTAAGGAAGACGTCGGAGAGGAAGGAACTGTATCTGGTACGAAGGGATACTCCGATGTTGTATTCTTTCACTCTTCCAGCCTAAAAATAAAAGAAATATAAATTGCCTTTTCATCCCTGTCTGTATATTATGATAGCCATAGAGCAGAAATATACAATTAAGATTAATGGAATATCCCAGCAACAGCTTGCGGTAGTCTGTTTCTGTTGTATCCACAGATAAGTCTAATAATTAGTTTATAAAACAATAAACTTTTTAGTTATTTGTTTATACATACCACAATTTCTCTTGACTGATAGCACAAAATAATCAAAGATTTGGTTGACTGATGCTATTCAAAATGACATTACTCTCAAATTTTGAAGTATAATTAGTCAAAAAAGTTAAAATTTTTGTAAACTTTTTTTACTAATTGAACATTACTACCACTAATTTTACCGTTCTGAATGCTTAGATTGAAATTAGAGGAACACACTTGTACGCTAATTGAAACCACTAATTTCGAGGTTCTGAATGAAACTTTTGTGTAAAAATAAATTTGAATCATCCTGTATATCTATCAAAATATTTTTGGTAGATATATGGTGATGTGCGTTACAATCGCCAGCATATTTTATCAAAATAAAGGAGTAAAAATCTAACAGGGAGCCATATGGAGTGTAGATTGGGTAGACTGGGTCACCCTGTATATTTAATACTATAGTAAACAAATAACTCAGAATTAGACAGAAATCAAAAGCGATTAATTTTAAATAATAGAATTTATACTTTATACAGGGTGTCCCAGAAATAAGTGCAAGTATTTTAACTGTTAGTATAGTTCAACCACAGAAACACGCCTATGAGGTTTTTTCTCGAAAAAAAAATTGAAAATTCGGAATTTTTGAATTTTTTTTTAGTTTTTAGTTAAAAAACATAATTTCTTGATAATATGACAACATAGGTAGTAAAAGAAAATCCAGAAAAGATCCAGTGGTTCTCAAAATGTTAGCAAAAAATCATTTTTTTGGGAAATTTTTAAAGTAAAATATCTCCGTTATTTTGGATTTATTTGAAAAACGATAAAGAGAAAATATGTTTCTTTTATCGAGATCTGCAACCCCTTAAAATATTTGCACTTATTTCTGGGACACCCTGTATATCTTGAATTAAATAGATTTTCTATTATTCCAATTTTTTTAAAATTAGATAATATTTATGTATAGATATAGATATGCAAAAGAAGATGTTTTTGTCAATAGATTTTACTTACGTTTGTTAGTTGTCCTAATCCATATGGATAGTAGGTTTCGTTCAAATATGGATCGTTTGGATATAGCTCTTGGAAACTGTCTGGAGTCCTATCTCCATGGCGAAATAACTAAAAAAAATATGCAGGTATAAGTTAAACATTCAATAAACAAAATAAAAAAAAAATAATTCAAATAAAAAATCTCATAATTTTCCCGAGACAATTACAAAATTTTAGAACAAGAAAAAACAAGAAGGACATACAATATTGTATATCGTTAGTTATTGACAATTATTTTCACTAACTTGACTGTACAGGGTGTCCCAAATTCGAGTCTCATCATTGGGATCTCAGAAACTACAATATGATCGAAAAATAAAGATTGCGGTCATATGTCATCAATTCGGAATATTTTTTACATAACAATTTTGAAAATAATGAATATTTTGCGTTTTCATTTATATGTTTTATAACTCCATTTGTATAGATATCGGGTGCGTCTCAAAAATGGCTCACTCCCAATAATTTTTTTATTTTTTCAGATAAAAAACGAGATTTGGTATGTTAATATATGACATAAATTAGAATTGATTGGCGTATTCAATTTTTTAGGCCACTGGAAAAAAAATGACTACAACTTATGATTCTTAAATGGCACCCTCGTAATTTTTTACTTTATTCGACAGAAAATGACACTCTGAATAGAATAACATATCATATGTCAACTTTTGACATTTCGAAACAAGATTGCATTTTAAATTTCAATCTAGATAGAACACTAAACCACCACAATACACTAAAACACTTTTACTTTTACACTAGACGCGCGTTTCGCTAACCATGTTAGCATCATCAGCAAATGATCAAGAGTCAGATAATCTGCTGATGATGCTAACATGGTTAGCGAAACGCGCGTCCAATGTAAAAGTAAAAGTGTTTTGGTGTATAGTGGTGATTTAGTGTTTTATTTTGCTGTGTATCACCAAAGATTCCAACTCCCAACTGTAATCTTCAATCTAGAGTTAAAAATACTAATTTTTAATCAAGGAATCTTGGAAAAATAGGTTTGATAGTTTAAAGTTTTTAGTGTCTTGTTCTGGCCGGTTAAAAAATGCCCAAATCGTATTTTTAATCATATCTCAATTTTTTCAAATGGAACGAGGGTGGCTCATTAGCATATTTGGAAAACGCATTTTTTACTAATAATTTGATACCATACACTTGGTATTTCGAGTTAAATTTTCGTTACGAACCGCAAGTTATAATTTCAAATAAACCATGTTATACGAAAATGTCAAAAGTTGCCATATGATATGTCATTCTATTCATGTCATTTTCTATCGAATAAAGTAACAAAATACCGAGAGTACAAAAAAAGGAAAAACAAGAAAACTAGCTAAAATAAAAATCTACAAAAATAATAGACATACAGAGGGGCACTAGAAAATACACTGTAAACTACTTTTCAAGTAGTATATCTCTACATTTTGATAAACCCATATAACTTTTTAAAAACAAGATTAATAATTTCAAATAAACTTACCACGTGACTTAACACCAACGTATCTTCTCCTGTAGAATCATGATTGTGAAAATCATGATGATGATGACCATAACTATGATCATGATTATGAAAATGATATTCTGGCATCGCCGATATTTGTAGAATCACATTAAAAACACCCAACAAAACAAACATTTTAAAATTACTTTTAGCAAACATTTTACTTATTGTAGGTATTTTCTTTTACACTATCTATATAAATGAAAATAAAAAAAAAGCTAACAAACTAAACCTAAACTATAGTGTTAAGTCTCTAGTTCAAAGGTATTGATTGATATACTGGGTATGTTATAGACCTTCGGCTTTTATATTAAAATGATTTTCTGCGGTTTGATACAGTTTTCCGTGAATACCTAGAATATTTTCAGACGTCAGTGGAAGCAACGGAAGGAAAGAGTGTGTTAGGTATTCCCATAAATCGTAATATATTATTATAATTGATTTAATAAAAATAACGTATTGTTATTATAATCTTAAATAATTAATATTAATTATTATATTTATGAATTGTTTGTGGGATTGTTCTTTTAGGTTCAAAAAGTTTAAATAAAATAATATCTTATTGTACTAATAGGTATGTAAACAAATTTTAATATTTTAAAAAGCATATAAAAATAATGTTGTTGAAATACAAACATAAATATTAATAATCTTTTTACATACATTGTATTCATAACTAATATGTACAGGGTATCCCATTTTAGTTGAAATCATACGGTACCTATCTCCGTTATTAGTAAAGATAGGAGGATGCGGTTTGCACAAACCTGTACCACTTTTTTGTCAAACGAAAGATGCTGGCAACAAAATTTTCATAGCCCTTTTTATTTCTGAACTATAGGGTCTTTAAGAAAATTTTGCAATTTGGTATCTCGTCCCGTATCTCCGTTATTGTGGATGATATCGAGAAGATGAAAACTGATTATTATAGAACTTTATACGTAGAATACAGTGGCGTAGTATAAGAAAATATTTTTGAAAATATGAACTAAAGTTATGTTTTCTCAAATGGAACACCCTGTGTATTTATAAATCATATGATCCGTCTTGCTATGAGCTTCTCAAAAATATACAGGGTCGCTTTTATGTATGGGAGCGGTCGATTATTAGGTAAAATATAGGAGGTACCGCAAAAAGTTAAATACAAAAGTTATACGATTTTTAAATATCTATTACCGAGTAATAATTTTAAGTATACAGGGTCGTTCATAAAGTCGTGGCACATCAAAGTTTCATTTTTTAAATATAATCCCCTGTATATTATTACATATTTCAATTCTTCCTTCAATTCTAAGCAAAAATTGAAATACACACAATGTACCTCAAAGTAACCGTTTCCGAGTTATTGGCTTTTGAAAATATCACTTAAACAATTCAATTTAATTAATTTGGATATGTTTGGTTTGATTTAATGATGCCATTCTGCCGAAACTGTGATAATGTTGTAATGGGTTTTTATATTCCTATTAGCTAAAAATACTACTTAAATAATTATTTAAGGTGATATAGCTACATTTAAAAATATGCATTTAAGGCTTCTTTAGCACCAATTAAGTCGCTTGTCCCTTATGGTAAAATTTACTATTTGGCAAATCATTGTACCGGGTGTCCCACTAAGAATAGCTCTCGGCTGTTAAATTATTTTCAAGTTTGTAAACCGGCCGCTATGGAAAATAAGAAAATAGAATTTTTACAGAATTTTGCCTAGATAATGGGTACTATAAATAATAGCTTCATAATCTTCAGTAAATTTTGGATTTTTTTTTGCAGGAACCATTTTCCCCTATCTGCTAAAATAAAGTGGTGGGGGAAGATCTGTCTTTATTTAAATGTTAATAACTCCGGACTGGATGATCAGAATCCAACAAACGAGGTCTCGTTTAAAAGAGCGCTTTTTACTCTATATTATACCATAATAATAATAATAACAAGGTTTTGAACGTAGACGCTAGGGGGCGCTTTCTTACAATTTAACAAACATTGCGCGTTTTTTCAAAAAATTAAATACGATAGTATATGTAATTTTAGCTGATAGTAAAGAGTAGAAAAAGCTTAAAAAGTCAGCGAAAACTGCATCTCGATATCATTTTTCAAACCCAAGATATTAGCAAAATTATAATAAATACCAAAAAATAAGCCCTTAATTACCTTATTTTTACAACACGGTATCGGTATCCCTCTTGATTATGCCCATTCTAACAAAAAAATAAGATAGAAACAGTTAGTTTATTTTAAAATCGACGAAATACCAGAATACCATAATACCAGATGTATTAATATCTAATAATTAAGATATTAATAACAGTGAACAATAAACGATGATTCAGTGAAGTCATGGTAGGCTTTGGAAAAAAGTTGCTTTTGACGTAATAGTATAAACGTCAAACTGATATTAGATCAACATTTTGATAGTCTTAGTAGCGTTTTTTATCTTTTGATTTTTTTTTCAAAATGCCAACAACCTCAACTACTTCAAATAATAAAGTCATTTTAAAAAAGCAATTAAAAGATAAAAAACGCTGCTAAGACTATCAAAATGTTGATCTAATAAAAATTTGACGTTTATACTATTATGTCAAAAGCAACTCTTTTCCAAAGCCTACCATGACTTCACTGAGGCATCGTTTCTTGTTCACTCTTATTAATATCTTAATTATTAGATATTAATGCATCTGGTATTATGGTATCCTGGCATATCGTCGATTTTAAAATAAACTAAATGTTTCTATCTTATGTTTTTGTTAGATTGGGCATAATCAAGAGGGCTACTGATACCGTGTTGTAAAAATAAAGTAATTAAGGGCTTATTTTTTGATATTTATTATAATTTTGCTAATATCTTCGGTTTGAAAAAAGATATCAAGATGCGGTTTTCGCTAAATTTTTAAGCTTTTTCTACACTTTTTTCTTCTTCTTCAAGTGTAGTCTTCTCTGTATCGCCCTCGATCTTGCGCTACATGGAGTAGTTTATCCGCACTCAAGCCTGTCCATTGCCGCAAGTTCCTCAACCACGAAAGCCTCGTGCGCCCAATCCACTTCTTTCCCTCGATTTTTCCGTTAAGGATGAGTCGGAGAAATTCATATCGAGGTCCTCTGGTTATATGGCCTCTTCTACTCTTTACTTACTTACTTATCAGCTAAAATTACATATACTATCGTATTTAATTTTTTTGAAAAAACGAGCTATGTTTGTTAAATTGTAAGAAAGCGCCCGCTAGCGTCTGCGTTCAAAACCTTATTATTATTATTTTTATGGTATAATATAGAGTAAGAAACGCTCTTTTAAACGAGCCCTAGTTTGTTGGATTGTGATCATCCAGTCCGGAGTTATTAGTATTTAAACAAAGATAGATCTAACCTTCCCCCACCACTTTATTTTAGCAGATAAGGGAAAATGGTTCTAACAAAAAAAATCCAAAATTTACTGAAGATTATGAAGCTATTATTTATAGTACCCATACATACATACATACATACATACATATCAGGGCATTATCTAGGCAAAATTCTGTAAAAATTCTATTTTCTTATTTTCCATAGCAGTTGCGCCCCCTAGCGGCCGGTTTACAAACTTGAAAATAGTTTCCAGCAATTTCTCCTAGCCTCATTAGTTATAACTATTTTTTTCCGTAGGCCCTACGGCTAATACTTTCCGAGATACAGCCGAGAGCTATTCTTAGCAATCAAAATTTCAAAAATGGTATAAAAAAAATATTTTTCAAAAATATTTTTGGATATTTAGATAGAGTAGGGTCACATTAGTCTAAAAATCCAAAAATCTCAAAATTGAAAGACAATTCACTTGCCGCCTTTTAAATGCCGGTGGCAGAATTTCTCTTGACGGATGATAATTAACGGCCAAAATGACATTAATCGCAAATTATAAGTATAATTCACTAATTATAGTGAATAGTATTAATATATAATAGTATTAATATATAATAGTATTAATAATAATTAGTATAAAAAGTTAACTTTTGCCACTGCAAAAGTTAACTTTTTATACTAATTGAAAATACTAGCACTAATTTTGACTTCTGGATTCTTACATTGAAATTAATGGAACAAACTTCTACGCTAATTAAAAACACTAATTTATTCCACTATTGCGAGATTCTGAATACAGCTTAAGGCGTTATGGGATTATGTACCATAAAAATGTATGCAGATCATCTAGAAAACATTTTCAGTGTGTAATGGGATGGTTCTATCTACAGTTTTGGATCTAGGAAATAAATTGCAAATCAAAATGTTGAATATGCCAGGAAAATTTATTTTACTTTGTGTTGAAGAAAATTCAAACTTTACTTTGAGGAAAATATCAACTAAACTGCCCGTCAAATTAAATACAACAGCGATTTTTTTACTCATTTTCAACGAGTTGTAACTTTGAAAAAAATGGACCGATTTTGTTGATTTTTTTAGCATATTAAAGATCGTTTTTCGTAGATTGATCTGATTTTTCGAAATTTTGTATGAGATTTAGTTTTCTATGATATACAGGGTGTCAAAAAAAAAGGAATGTAATTTTTGTAATTTTTGTGTTGCTGCAATTTTGCCAAAAAAAAAATTAACTAAATTGGTCCATTTTTTTCAAAGTTACAACTCGTTGAAAATGAGTAAAAAATCGCTGTGGTATTTAATTTAACGGGCAGTTTAGTTAATCTAGTATATCCTAATCCTATATATGGCCATTCACACCGAGGGAAAATACAACTATCCTCTTTCATAATATGGTATCACATATCTAAATACACCAAGAATTTCAGTTTCTATATTTCAGTTTCTAGATATAACACTCAGTATATCTTTACTGATATTCATTAAATTGTATTTTGATGGAGATCTCTTCCAATTCAAAATTTCCAAAAACTTATAATATTACAGCTGTATTTCGTGACGTAAAATTATCATCAGAAAAATAATAACATATATTTTATTAATTATTCATAATTATTCAATTAAATCAGGTTTTCAGACCACACTCTACTACTGTAATTTACGTTTTATTTTTAGATATCGGGGAATACTCCTAAATACTACCAATTAATCATTTCAGCTGTAGTAGTTGGTTATTTCCTTATAAAAATCTGAATTGTGACGTTGTGTCCGACATTTTTTCTCTGAATTAAATTATGGAAACTTGACAAGCATGGGTATTTTGATTTGTGTAATTCGCATCAATTATTTTCCAATACTATGACGTAACATTTGCGAATTTTTGTTTAATATTATACGTAATCAATTTTGTAATTTGCATTATTTATTTCGATAAACACGTAGATATATATGGAAATCTGTAATAAAAGTAATTGTTAAAATAAAATACGTAAATAAAGTAAATCAGTAGGATAATGACATAATATCCGCCGCAATACCCTTAGCCGTGGTACCAATATGAAAAAAAAGAAATAGTGAGGGAAATGTATAAAGAAGAAGTAAAATATTAAACGGGGCTCAGCACTCAACAACTCGCAACCGTGTACACCAGTGTACACCACTACTAGTTTAGTGCAAGACACGCACACTCACACACTCACACAAACCGCACTGGTGTACAGGGTGGGTCAAATTCGACGCTTTTAAATGGAAACACCCTTTTCTATAGGAGATAGACAAAAACTAATATCGGTGTCTGGAGTTCAATTTTTGTCAAAAACATGATGGTGAAAACCGCACAACGATATCTGTTACCGTTTTGGAGTTACGGGGTGTTTTTCAAAAATATTCATTTTTAACAAGTCGCTGTAACTTTTTTGCTATGGAAAATTTTGTATTTTTATGAAAACATTTCCAAAGCACTTTTTTGCCTAGAATTTAATGGTTTAAGTATAATTTTTTTAAAATTAATAATTTAAGAATTATCAACAGAAAATTTGATTTTTTATATGGGACACCCTGTATATTTTTAATTAACTGAAAAAAAATTAAAATTACCTTTCCAAAAATATAGCACACTTGATATTTTGTTATAATCCCCTTCGAAATACAGAATTTTTAAAAGTTCGCCACTTTAAAAATTAAAGTGGCAAACTTAATTTTAAAAATTAATTTTAAAAATTAATTTTAAAAATTAATTTTAAAAATTAATTTTTAAAAGTTCGCCACCAATAAAAATGTCTTATTTTAATAACACTCCCTGTATCAATATTTATCAAAATTAGAACTTAAGTATCTTGGGTAAGGAGGATTCAATATAATTTATCAGATTTGAAATAAATACTGTCCTAAGGGTAGTTTACTATTGACTCGAAAAATATCAAACCCCATTAAAACGTACGTCTATGAGGTATAGAATTTCTTACCCTGGGCAAAATGTACGTCTTATAGTCATACAGCTTCCTGCTATAAATGAAAAAGATCGCTCAACAGACAACCAAGATATTGGCTTGTATCCATCTTAAGTGGGACACCCTGTATGTTATATCCCCAACACTTTTTTGAAGTAGGCACCCTTTATACTATACAGTAATTTTAAAATATGCTTCTATATAATTTTTCTATGTAACATTTTTTTTTTCTGAAAAAACGTTAAAAAAGGTATTTTGTAAAAAACGTCGTGTCTCGAAATAAATGAAAGTTTATAGAGGAAAACAACCAAAAGGGATTAATATACAACGAACCAAATACCATGTTAGAGATACAAACATTTACTACTGTATCCGTTATTATTTGGTCATTGTTTGTTATATTCAATTACAATTTAATATGTGTTTGGGTTCCTATTACTATAATCCAACTCGTTTGTCTTGTGGCAAGCTTGCCGCAAAAATGGATAGAAGATGTCTCGCTCTCCTCTTGCTCTTGTCTCGCTGTTGTCTCGCTTTTGCCTCGCTCTCGTCTCGTAAGGTTTGGACGCACCTTAACAAATTTCTGTTTTGTGGCTATTGCCGTAGAAGGGTTCTGAGCCTATGAATGGCATTTATGAGCCTTGTTTGGCTATTTCATCTGCCTTTTTGTTACCTTTTTGACTTTCATGCCTTTAGTACTTATTTATATCTAATCAGATAAAAAAAAATACTAAAAAAGTTATCTTTTTGAGTTAGTGGATTTAGTGATAATTTACTTAAAAAATTAATTTTTAACAATAAATAGACATCTAAGCTGTAGACAGCACTTATGTCGTATTGTCAATATTTACTAATATGTTTTATATTAAAGTAATTATTATACATTCAAAATTTCTATCGTAATTTAATGTTTTGTATAAAAGCATACAACAAGTGCTTTTACAGTACGTCTGTCCGTTCTGTAGCTACGGGATATCCGTGAGAGGGGAAACGATATTCTCTCGATGTTTTTCGTAAAAAATTAGACGACGCGTCCCATCAATAAAAATTCGACAAATTTGCAAGTAGCCAATAAAATGAGTGGGCGGAGCGATTTGCGGTGACGTACTCGTCAGGTCGACGTATAAAATATGTTTATTTAAATGTTTTTTGTCCGCATTCCTTTCATAGACACAGATCCAGCACACGTACTATATATCTTTTCAATGTATGATTAATCTCACATTTCAATTTTAGTTTGGATGGATTGGTTTTTAACTAAGTACAGTACATCTGCTGGATCTGTGTCTATGAAAGGAATGCGGACAAAAAACATTTAAATAAACAGCAATATATTTTATACGTCGATTTGACGAGTGCGTCACCGCAAATCGCTCCGCCCACTCATTTTATTGGCTACTTGCAAATTTGTTGAATTTTTATTGATGGGACGCGTCGTCTATTTTTTTACGAAAAACATAGAGAGAATATCGTTACCCCTCTCACGGATACCCCGTAGCTACAGAACGGACAGACGTACTGTAGGTGATTAAATAATCGCATCTTAAAATCATTTTATTTCGATTTATTTTTTTTGATAATATACAAAAATAAATATAAAAGAGATTCAACAAGTTGGCTTTTCACCGACAATTGCTATTGCATTCACTTGATTCTCCAATTATTTGTGTAAACTAGGTATTTTGTTCTTCATTCAATGCCGCATAGATCTTCTGGCGGTATGAATTCACTTGTAAGACCAATGAATTTATCCAGAGGACAGAAACTTCCACATTCTGGTATCGACAGTAACTGTGGGCCATTTCCTGTATGATTTTCATAGAAAACCTGAAATAAGAAATATAAATAATTATTTCTAAAAGTAATAATAGATAACTGAAGCAACGGTTTGAACAGTTTTTTAAAATTTTATAATTAAACCAGGCGCTTTGTATGATGACAGAAAAACAATTTTTGTAAATTAGACATTTTATCTGTCAAAGTCCAAGCCTTCTGGATCATAAACGTTTTTGATTGCACGGTAGTTACTGAAAATAAGCCAATATAAGTAAAAGTCGACTTTACTGACTGACTATACTATACTGACTAGACAGCCTCAAAATTGTATATATTTAGTTGAAAATTTGGATCTGTGGTAATTTAACTTGTTGCATCCGAAAAAAAACCTCGAGGGTTATTACATATACAGGGTTGTTCACTACATACGACACGGAGTATTGTAGCTAAACGATTAGATTTTTACAAATTGTAAGTCTTGGGTTCATTGAAGGACTATTAGAGCTACAATTTATAAATATTTTTACAAGATACAGAGTGTCCCAAATAAGTAAAAAATATTATAGTTGTATTTTTTTAAATGGAACACCCCGTATATTATTCTATTTTTAGATTCTACGATTAAAATAAAGATGAATTTGATTAAGGTTTATCATACTTAAACCTTACCGGTTTTGAAATATTTTCAATTTTATGAAATTGCAGTAAACATTTTAAGGCTTCATTTCTTCAAGGGTATCAAAGTTTTTAAAACTAAATATTTACTAAAGATTATTTATTGATCAGATATTGTGTTGCAATAATTAGAATTCTACTACTTTATACAGAGTGTCCACAAAATTATATTAAATAATTACTAGCTTTAAACGGCAATAACTTGTTTAATTTAAATGGAACAAAATGGAAATGGAATAAATATATTTTACGTGAATCATATGCATAATTTAATTGTCTATCAAATTGTATTATACCATTTTTTACCCATCTCTTCAAGTTTTCGTAGAAAATGTATTTTCTTATAATTTAGACCTCATTAATCACTATACCTATGGAATATTGACATCTTAGATTATTTTTAAAGATGTAACAAATTTTCAAAGAGTACAAACACTAATATTGTCGATATAATTCGCTTATTTCATTAAAAAATAAAATAAAAAAACTGTTGTGATTGTAAATATTTTTTGTTAAAGAGGATCAATTAATATGATCGTTGATTAATAATAATTGCTCCAAAACTGAAAAACTGAATTTTGTGTGTATATTAGACACTGTAGTAAAAAGTAACACCTTATAAATTTTATTTCATTTTTTGACGAATGCTAATTTATAAAAACAGAGACGTTCATTTTCAAAACTTATTATTATATTGATTTCTGAGCCAAATCCAGATTTATTTAGAATACTTTATTAACTAAAATAATTTAAAAGTATGTAACTAATTTTTGGTCGAAAATAATGGTGGTATATTTAATTGGTATACTGTTTTACAAAGATTTAAATAGCTTTTTTGTATACCAATAGGCTTGCAATATTTACCACCTGTATGTTTTGTACATATGTATGTCGCTTTAAAAAAATGTCGGATGTCAATATTCCATAGGTATCGTGATAAATGAGGTCTAAATTATAAGAAAATGCATTTTCTACGAAAACTTAAAGAGATAGGTAAAAAATGGTAAAATATAATTTGATAGACAATTAAATTGTACATCTAATTTTCCTAAAATATACAGGATGTTCCATTTAAATTAAACAAGTTATTGTCGTTTAAAACTAGTAATTATATAAAATAAATTTTTGGACACTCTGTATAAGGTAGTAAAAATTTTATTATTGCTACGTAATATCTGATCAATAAATAATCTTCAGTAAATATTTAGTCTTAAAAACTTTGAAACCCTTGGAGAAATGAAGCCTTAAAATTTTTACTGCAATTTCATAAAATTGAAAATATTTCAAAAACGGTAAGGTTTAAGTGTTATAAACTTTAATCAAATTTACCTTTATTTCAATTGTAGAATCCAAAAATAGAATAATATACAGGGTGTTCCATTTAAAAAAATACAACTATAATATTTTTTACTAAACGTATCTTGTAAAAATATTTTTAAATTGTAGCTCTAATAGTCCTTCAACGAACCCAAAACTTACAATTTGTAAAAATCTAATAGTTTAGCTACAATACTCCGTGTCGTATGTGGTGAACAACCCTGTATTCATTGTGGTTTAAATTAAGCATATGGAAATTTTGCATAATATACACGATTGTGCATCCAGAAAAACCCGGATTGGTGAGACACCTTGTGGTATTTACCACGCGAAAGACAATAATTGCTCGAGGTTATTAACACTTTATAATTCCCGTGGTACATAGATGATTTTATTTCTTACTGAATTTAATGTATTTTGTCCCACTTTAAAACGACACAAATGTTGCATTTATTAATCTTCGTGTATATTTGTATTAACGTTGCTGGTGTTGCCAGGTTAGTATTGTATTATAAATTGACTGTTGTTGACAATTCATTTCAGTTTTTTTTTGTCAAAAAAAAAACGTCTTTCGCACGAATTCGGCACACGTTCGAGTACGTTTCCATTAAAATGCAGGAAATATTAAGCCTTGTAATCCACGTAAAAGTGAAGCCATTTACAAAAAGAAATATAAAAAATACCTTTAGTGGCTTGGACAGCAAACAGGCGGAGCGCTCCGCGCAAAATGTTTTGTTGCAGGTCGTACAGAGCGCTCCCGGAAAATGTTTTGTTGCAGATTTTTTGGAGTGCGCGGCGCGTTTGGTTTGTTCGGAGTGTTTTGTTGCAAGTGAATACGCACCTTTAGAGTAGTTAGAAAAGTGTCCTTTTTCATTTTATACCGGGTGTTTAAAAAATATGTACCATCTCTCGTGGGGAGATTCCTCACTCAAAAATAAGATTTATTTTTCATATCAACATAGGTCCGATTCTGCTTTGTTTCGTAGCTACAGGGTGTGAAAGTCTTAATATTTTTTCGATTTATTATAATTTTGTTTCAAGGACTTTTAGCGTTTCGAATAAAATTTTGAGGGTAAAAGTTACTATAAATGCGACATATTTTAAAGCTCAAAAAGTGTTGACATATTCACCAGGGACGTGCATATGGGTTATCACTGGAATATTTTTTTTAAAAAAGGCTAATACTCCACTAAGTGTTTTTTTCTCTTGTCAGCGAAATAGTGTAAGCAGTTTAATGCCGATTAAAAGTTGTCTCTTAATATTTTATTGATTTTGGCCTCCTTGAAAAGATAAACGCAATTTTATTAATTTGCCTTGATCCAAGTCTACTAGCACCAAGTCTATGACTAGCACCCTTTAAAAAAATTTAATATCATTAACTTGCGAAAGTTTTAAATAAGTACTCATTGATTCCTCATCAAAAAATATGAAATAAAGTTCCTATTAACATGGGTATGGAAGTGCATAGTTTTAGAGTTGCAGGATGTTAAAACTTTCTAAAATTAGGTTTTTTGTAATTATCTTTAATACCATTAAAATTGCTGTACGTTGGACTAATAGTAATAATAACTAATAGTAATAATATTTAATAATAAATTAAAATATAAGATAAAATATAATTTATTAACTTTATTTTTATTTTAATTTTATTAATTGTGATTAATCAAATTGCGTTTATCTCATCAAGGAGGCCGAATTCGACAAAATATCAAGAGATAACTTTTAATTGGCATTAAACGGTACAATTTTGATATCAAAAGAAAACAGTCAATGGCGTGCGTGTTTTTTTTAAATATTCCAGTGATAACTGATTAAAATATGTAACACTTTTAGTAACCTGTAATTAAACAAAATTTCATTTCGAATCACTAAAATTACGGTATGAAATGAATATATTAATACCTTTACGCCATAGATGTTATTAACAAAATGTATCTCCAACGCCACCCATGACCCGTAATTCGGCACGTGCCACTTATCGAACACGTTCAAACTGATCAGCAATTCAGCGATGTTGTTCTCGTGAGCCGAGTACAAGTACATCTTCTTTCCAGGCCATTCACTGCTGATTATCTTCCTTTTCGTGTCTTCAATGATCTTATCCAGGAAGTACCCCGTGGCCATCTGTCTCATTTCTTTGGTTGTCATGGACACGAAGTAGTCTTGGATAGCCAGATCGGTTACGGTTTTGGGCCAGACGGTTTTTGTCCAGTCCGGCAGGGTGAAACCGTATTCCTGTTCGGTGGACAGGCCGAAGTACAAGTTGTAGAAGTCGAAGAACCTGGTTACTTTAAGACCGGTATGTTCGGAGACGTACTGGAATACGTCGGTGTATTGAGCAAACTTGTTCTGAATCTCTTCTGATCTAGAAAGAAAATTGAATTTTTTAAAATGTGGAGCCAAATTTAAGATTTTGGTGATCTCAACTATTAACTTTCTAAGTTTTAAGTGGAGTAATTTCGGGTAATATGGACATCAGACAAAGAAATTAAATATCGCATTGAACTAGCTCGACAGGCATTCTTGAGGTTTCAAAGAGTCTTTTTCGATTTTTTAACTTAAACCTCTCTTCGATTAAGTTTCGTTAAGTGCTACGTATGGTCGCTGTTCCTTTATAGTCTGGTAGGTTGGATATTGAAGGCAACTACCATTACCATACGTATTAACAAGTATCGCAGAATCCTGAAGACATTTTAGACGGCTAGAGTAACAAATGAAAAAATTCTAAGACGTGTTAACAAACAACGTGAACTGTTTGAATTGATCAAGAAGAAAAGTGAAACCCAAAATATCAATTCTTGCATCTGTTGATCGAAGACAAGATCGAAGCTGGGAGAGGCAACGGAAGAAAAAAATGTCTTGGTTGTCTTGAAATAGAGAAGTAATGGGAAATATCATGGCAAACATCCATTAACGGATTTACATTAGAAGAAGAAGAAATTTCCAGGAATATAATTCCTGCAAGAATCTTAGGTATCTTTGACCATGCAAGCTGTACTACTAATTATGAACTATGCATACGAAACCTGGATACTTGTCGATAGAGATACCTGGATATACAGGGTTGTTCACCACATACGACACGGAGTATTGGAGCCAAACGATCAGATTTTTACAAATTGTAAGTTTTGGATTCGTTGAAGGACTATTAGAGCTATAATTTAAAAATAATTTTACAAAATAGAGTGTCCTAAATAAGTAAAAAATATTTTGTATTTTTTTAAATACCCCCTGTATATTATTTTATTTTTAGATTCTACGATTGAAATAAAGGTAAATTGGATTAAGATTTGTCACATTTAAACCTTACCGTTTTTGAAATATTTTCAATTTTGTGAAATTGCAGTAAAAAATTTAAGGCTTCATTTCTCCTTGGTTATCGAATTTCTTAATACTAAATATTTACTGAAGTTTATTTATTGATCAGGTATTGTGTTGCAATAATAAAAATTATACTACCTTATACAGAGTGTCCAAAAATTTATATTATATAATTACTAGTTTTGAACGGCAATAACTTGTTTAATTTAAATAGAAACATCCTGTATATTTTACCTGAATCAGATGCACAATTTAATTGTCTATGAAATTGTATTATACCATTTTTTACCTATCTCTTGAAGTTTTCGTAGAAAATGCATTTTCTTATAATTTAGACCTCATTTATCACTATACCCATGAAATATTGACGCTTTAGATTTTTTTAAAGCAAAATAAATACAAAATGTACAGGTGGTAAAAATTATAATATTGTAAGCCTATTTGTTTAAAAAAAGAAGACTATTTAAATCTTTGTAAAAGAGTATACTATATTAATATAACACTATTATTTCCGCCCAAAAATTAGTTATTACATACTTAATTGTTTTAATTAATAAATTATTCTAAATAAATGTGCATTTGATTCAGAAATCAATACAATAATAAGTTATGAAGATTAACGCCTCTGTTGTTATAAATAAGCATTCGTCAAGAAATTAAATAAAATTTATAAGGGGTTACTTTTTACCACACTGTCTAATACACACACAAAATTCATTTTTTTAGTATTTGGAGTAATTATTATTAATCAACGTAAACAGTCAATTAATGTAATTTGAATAATGAGATTATATTAATTGGTCCTCTTTAAAAAAAATATTTAAACAGTTTTTTTTTTATTTTTTAATGAAATAAGCGAAATATATCGACAATATTAGTATCTATATTCTTTCAAAATTTCTTACATCTTTAAAAATAATCTAAAATGTCAATATTCCGTGGGTATAGTGATAAATGAAGTCTAAATTATAAGAAAATGCATTTTCTACGAAAACTTGAAGAGATAGGTAAAAAATGGTATAATATAATTTGATGGACAATTAAATTGTGCATCTGATTCTCGTAAAATATATAGGGTGTTCCATTTAAATTAAACAAGGTATTGCTGTTTAAACCTAGTAATTATTTAATATAAATTTTTAGACTCTCTGTATAAGATAGTATATTGTTTATTATTGCAACATAATATCTGATCAATAAATAAACTTTAGTAAATATTTAGTATTAAAAACTTCGATACCCTTGGAGAAATGAAGCATTAAATTTTTTACTGTAATTTCATAAAATTGAAAATATTTTAAAAACGATAAGGTTTTTAATCTACGGTAAGGTGAAGATCTACCTAGAAGACCAAACCTAAGAGGGGGTCATAAGTCATAATATTAGGAAATCAGCGGGGTTATCTTGGACCTGTATAGCCAACAATAGACAGCAATGATCCCATTAAGGGGGGATTATCTAAATATGTTAGGGGGGGGGGGCTACGCAATAACTGGAAATTGTTGATTAAGCTGGAACTGATGATGATTATGATCCAAAAATCTCCAAAAGCCAACAACCTGATCTAGAGCTTGATCTATACCTTATATACGTATACTCATATTCTTTCAATACTTACTGTGTCACCTCTTCATACATCCTCAAGTAATTAGGACACAACACTCCAAGCAACACTTTGTCTCTGTCTTTGGGCAGATAGTTAAACGGTACAGGTTGCCAAATGATTCCATCCTCAAAAATATCCTCTTCCCTGGGTGGGAATAGTCCGGCTAGAACCAGTTGCAGGGACATTTTAGTTCTGTTGTAATCTGTGGTGTGGGCGTCGATGATTTGAGGGTAATAGTGGTCGCCAAGGAAGGAATCGTATCGCGCTCTGAGTGCTTTACCTACACCATACTCCTTGTGTTTTCCAACCTGGAATTAATTAGTAACGATAGAGATAATGTTTAAATTATAATATGGTTGTTGCAAAATGTATTTTGGTGTTCAGTCTGTGAAAATTGGAAGGCGCAGTATGTCTTATGCATATAGACAAAGGTCTTACCTTAGTCAGCTGCCCATTTCCGTATGGATGGTAAAGTTCGTTTAGATATGGATCTTTAGGGTAAAGTTCATGTTCTATATCCGGTGTTCGGTTACCGTGACGGAAAATCTAAAAGAAAAATGCTATATTACCAATATACCAAATACATAAACATATTATTATACTAATAGATATTGGTATATTGGTATATCATACCAATATACCAATACTAATATACCAAAAAATACTTATTTTAATTTTTATTTATAAACTAAAAATGAGAATGATTACTTAGAAAATATATTTACCATCGTAGAGAAAATAATATATAATATCGCAATTAAATACAAAAAAGTGTTTTTAGTGTTGGTAGCATGTTGATTAAGTGTATATATTTGGATTTATGCTCCTTTTATAAAGCTCTGTGTGCTATTACACGCTATCTTGGTGTCAGTGGGTTTTCTAGTAGTGAATACATGTAAAAATTTTGTAGACTCATTGCCACCATTTATCGAATATAAGTGGGCTGTACTTAAACTGCCGTTAAACGGTAGCTTACTAAAATGCCGTTAATAGGTATGACGTCGTTGATGTGACGCACTTGACGGGCTTTATGAAATATAGGAATTTTATAAGGACGCAACCACCCCACCAAATAACCAACTTAACCAATGCAACTAACCTCGACACTAATAAAAAAATATAAAAAAAATATAAATTAGTAAAAACCAACCAACCCCACCAAATAACCAACTAACCAATGAATTAACACCCTCCAAATAACCACGCTAACCAACCCGCCAAATAACTAAACCAGTCCAACCAAAAAGAGTGAAACCAATGCAATAAGATCACGCTATAAGCAAAAAAAATATAAAAAAGTCTTGGTCGGCGTGAGATTTGAACCACGGACCATTCGCTCACGAAGCGATAGCCTCAAGCACGGAGCCACAGGTCCTCTTGCAAAATGCTTATAGGCAGGCCTTACTTTCCGCCGGTATGAACGACGTCACAATATCTATTAACGGCATTTTAGTAGGCTACCATTTAACGGCTGTTTAAGTACATCGTTATAAGTATTACAAAAAGGCTGTACTTAAACTGCCGTTGAAGGGTAGCTTACTAAAATACCGTTAATAGGTATGACGTCGTTGATGTGACGCACTTGACGGCTTTATAAAATATAGGAATTTTATAAGGACTAACCAACGCTATCCACCCCACCAAATAACCAACTTAACCAACGCAACTAACCTCGACACTGATAAAAAATATAAAAAACAAATATAAATTAGTAAAAATCAACCAACCCCACCAAATAACCAACTAACCAATGAATTAACACCCTCCAAATAACCACGCTAACCAACCCGCCAAATAACTAAACCAATCCAACCAAAAAGTGTGAAACCAATGCAATAAGATCACGCTATAAGCAAAAAAAATAAAAAAAAAGTCTTGGTCGGCGTGAGATTTGAACCACAGACCATCCGCTTACGAAGCGATAGCCTCAGCCACTGACCCACAGGTGCTCTTGCAAAAAGCTTAAGGCTAGGCATTACTTTCCGCCGACATGAACGACGTCACAATATCTATTAACGGCATTTTAGTAGGCTACCGTTTAACGGCTGTTTAAGTACATCGTTACAAAAATAACGAAAAGGCAGATAAAATGACCATATAAGGTTTATCAATGCCATTCACGAGTCCGAAATCTTTCTGTGGTGGTAAAAGCAATTACAAAAATGGTCACAAAACAGTAAGTGGCATCATCTCTAGAATTGTGGAAAAATTGACAGAAGCAGGTGAAATAGTTCATAGTAGAATCGCAAAAATTTAAGACAGAGTACATACCTAATAACAGAACATTGCAACAAAGCTGATGGATTGACTGACGACGTTAGTATGTGCAGATTTTGTTAAACGGAAAAACACATTCTATATATTTCAGTGTGACAGCCAGGCAAATGTGTAATTCTTTATAAATATACATATTTTACTATAGAATGTTAAATCAGTGGTGAAGAGGTGCAAGGAAGGTTGAGTCGTCAAATTATTAGATTTTTGAATAGGTTACAAGTGACAACTAGAGAATCTAATTTAGAGATCAGGTGAGGATCACAAGAGATAAAGGTCGCAATTCTTTACTTAAAGTAAAAAGTCTAAGAATCCGTAAATATTTTTTTAATATGAACTGAAGGAGTCAGAAGACATACTTAATAATTAAGTAAAAAATAAAATAAAAACAGATACCATGTGAGTTTAGAAAATCATTGGAAAAACTAACGAAAATCAAAAGAAATTAGTCTTAAAGAATATTATACCAACACATCAAATCATGCAACAAATAAAAATGTATCAGTCTTTATTTTGTTGCTACTTTTTATATGGAAATTAAAAGACAGGGTTTTATCCAATCATGACTTGATTACAAAAACGAAACTTGCAGTGTACCGAGTCTATGGTACCGAGCAATTATAATCCCCACTATGTTATATGGAAGCGAAACCTGGGTTCCGTACCACCGACACATGAACGCATTAAACAAGTTGCAACAGAGACACCTTAGAGAACTCTTAAACATCCGGTGGTTCCACCATGTCTCAAATGTATCGGTTCTTGAAAAAGCTAAGAGTTTTAAAGTCATATTTACAAAATCCCGCTTGATAGAAAGAGATTGGCTGGTCACGTATGCAGAATGCAAGAAAACCGCATACAATCTCTGCTTTACGGTGAACTTGTAGATGATAAGAGGAACCCGGGTGGACAACTGAAAAGGTACAAGAACATTTTCCACGAAAATTTAAAGGGTATTAACATGCAGAATGAGTGGGAAGAAGCAGCTCAAAATTGAGCTCAATGGAGAAGAATTGTAAACTCAGTTAACAGCGACAAACAAAAAGTAAAGAGGCAAGAAAGCAATGAGATTTTTGAATGTCCGGAGTGCGGTAGGCAGATAACATCACGTATCGGGCTTTTCAGTCACAGATAAGCTCATGAAAGAAAACGACTTGCGTGATTTTCTGATGTGTGTCGAATACTCGTCAGTGGTCAGTGAGTAATGGCAGTATGTATGTGTGTACTTTTTATATATAGTATCTTCTGGATAACTCTAGCCCTTATTTATTGTAGATTTAAAACCATGTTAAGATGTAAACCGTATTTAAATTTAAAAAAGGAGGATAATCTAATATTTTCAGATAGTGAAAAACCTTTAGCACTAAAATTCTATAGGCTTGAAGAACTTTTCTGAAGCAAATCAATGCAGGAATTCTTGTGGCACAATCTCGCAGGCGAATGGATATTTCACGCTTGAATAACTACTGATCGTGTAAAAAATTGTAATTTAGGATGTTTAACTTCAGTATCTAAATGCAACGAAAAATGATATACCTATCCAAAAGATTTCCAAGTAAAATCTTCAAAATTTAAATTCTTACCACGTGGGTTAGTATCAAAGTGCTCTGATCCATTCCAGAAGCCTCTTCTTCCTGAGTCCAGCTGATGGCGAACAGCAGCAACAGACCGACAACCCAAGCTTGACGAAGCATGTTTGAAAAACTCTGCTAAGTTGTTTCCACCAACGCACTGGTACTGAAACGAGAGAAATTTTTCGCGATGATGCCCGGCTATTGCTTTTGAGTACCCATTCATCGTAGTCTTTCAATTTATACGAAAAGTCTCAATGAAACTGATAAGATTGGCAATAACTCGATGATACTCGATTTTGAGTACGACTTACTATTTTTGGAGAGATGATAATGTTGGAATTTGTGATGCGATAGATGTGACGTTTTTTTTTCGAAAAAATTGCGATAGATATCGCATGATCAAAGTTAATTAAGTCGATCGATCTAGTAAACACTATTAACTATAAATTGATCTTGAAATGGAACTTTGATCAGATAAATCTCGTTTTTTTTCGCAATATTAAGAGGCACTCCTATGCCGGAAAGACAGTAACCTGTAAGACATATTGATTTTGTTCTCTTTCTATGTCTGTACCCACTCTTAGGGGTCGTCATTTTCTTGACAACTTCTTGATCTTGTCTTGATCTTGCCTTGATCTTGTCCTGATCTTGTCTTGATCTTGTCTTGATCTTGTCTTGATCTTGTCTTGATCTTGTCTTGATCTTGTCTTGATATTGTCTTGATCTTGTCTTGATCTTGTCTTGATCTTGTCTTGAACTTGTCTTGATCTTGTCTTGATCTTGTCTTGATCTTGTCTTGATCTTGTCTTGATCTTGTTTTGATCTTGTCTTGATCTTGTTTTGATCTTGTCTTGATCTTGTCTTGATCTTGTCTTGATCTTGTCTTGATCTTGTCTTGATCTTGTCTTGATCTTGTCTTGATCTTGTCTTGATCTTGTCTTGATCTTGTCTTGCTCTTGTCTTGATATTGTCTTGATATTGTCTTGATCTTGTCTTGAACTTGTCTTGATCTTGTCTTGATCTTGTCTTGATCTTGTCTTGATTTCTTGTCTTGATTTCAAGACAAGTACATTGCATTACAGGGGTATTGCAATGGGCCCAAGGCGTCCGAGTGAGGGATCAAACATGATCCCAAACCCCAGCAACCTAACCTAACCTAAGCATTGCTATGCCTGAGTCCTTGTGTGTTTCTTCAGTAGACGGTCTGCTTTTCTCTAGGGAAAAAATCTCTTATATTCCGCATAGATAAGCATTATCTTACTTCTAAAAAGACCCCCTAAATAAGTTGTTATTTTCAGTGACGTTGTCTAAACAGTACCTCTGTATGGCTGCTCAATTTGTGCCAGTACAAATTAGGTTGAAACAGCATTCGATCAAGAAGTTTATATTCTATTTGTTGATTTGAAGAAAGCTTATGACAGTATACCTTTAGGGACAGTGGCTGATACAGGGGGGACCATGAGGCCCGCCCCCCCCCTAAAATCTGTAAATTGTGCTAAAATATTAGGCTTTTCGGTTAAAAATAGCGTCCTAAAAAGCATATTCTGCATTGCTTTTTATTTTGGGCCTCCCCCTAAAATAAATTCCTGTATCCGCCTCTGCTTAGGGAGACTTTGGAAGACGCCGCAACAAAGTAATATGAATATAGAAATAATAAAGGCTGTTAAATCCTTATACCGTGACTCAAAATATATAATTATAACAAACCATGGCTTAACACCGGGATTTACAGTCACTAAAGGCCTTAGACAAGGATGTTGCTTATCGCCCATCATATTTAAGATTTACTTGGAAAATACACTGAAAACATGGAAGCGAAAATGTATCTAGGTATATGGGATTACCAGTAGATGATGATACTACAGTGTACACCTTGTTATTAGCAGATGGCCAGGCTGTTGTAGCACAAGATATAGAAGACTTGGAATACATGACCCGAAAAATTTTAATAATTAAGATAAGTAATAGTAATTAAGATAAAACCCTGATTTTTACCCTTGATACATACTTGTTCAGATAACACTTAACAGCCATGTGTCCTGTCAAGAGGCCTGTTGTAATCCGCACTTTATTCCTGCTAAGCATTAGCAGTTCTTTTGCGGTTTTAGAGCTAGGTCCTTGGACAAAAGCCTTGCTGTGCCTGTGCCCCTGTCTGTTTCTCCAGTGGACATTGTGCTTTTTCTTGATCCAGAGTTTTAGTGCACTACGGGCCATACATTTGAGTATTCCCAGTACTGGCTCTGGACTAAGATAGGATGCCGATGATCCCTGCCTAGCTAGCTCATCGGCTTTTTCGTTGCCTTGGATGCCGCTGTGGCCTGGCACCCAGAATAATTTAATTCTGTTCCTTCGTGCCAGAGCTCCCAGTTCACCCAGGCATTCCCAGACGAGTCTCGACGATACTTTTGGGTTCATAAGCGCCCCAAGTGCCGCCTGACTGTCAGAGCATATATTGATGAGCTTACATGAATAAGCTCTTCTATTGTTTTCTCTTGCACATTGTAGAATGGCGAAGATTTCTGTCTGGAATACGGTTAAGTGTTTACCCAAGGAAAAGGATAAGCTTGCCCTTGGTCTTTCCCCAAATACTTCAGCTCCTGTTCCTTCAGCGGTCTTTGACCCGTCTGTATACCAGGTTAGTCCATCCTGAAGGAATGTTATATCTGTCCACATTCCTCGATCCATTTTGTTCACCCCGAATGGTTTGTGGTAGTGATAAAGAGGGGTCATTTGGTCCGATCTCATTTGGAGTAGAGATCCTCCGATAGAATCTCCCATCTTTAAGTGTCCTGTTTCTGTCCTATTTCCCGGAGACAAGACACTTTTTGTCGATAGAGTCCCATTCTTGCCTCCGCCTGGATCACTATGTGAAGAGGCGGAAGGTCCAGAAGCGCCTCCATTGATGCAGTGGGCGTTGCAAACTACATACATAACGTTACAATATTATGTGACAGACAAACAAACAGAAGAATGTCCTTTTGTGCAATGGACATACTGCTATTTCTTTGTCATTGCTAGACGAAGAGTGTTTTTTTGTACTACAGCTTCTCTATTCTTTGAATAATACTACTTAAAATAATTAATGGAACTACGATTGGGGACCATGAATTTGGATATACGGACCGTAGTAGCAGAAAAATAAAGAAAAATTTCACGTTTAATGGACAGTCAATAGTTTTTTTTTAATTTTTTTTTCAGATATCATAAAAACTAGATTTTTCACATGTAGGTGTACTATTTGTATGATTTTTTATCATTTTTTTAAGTATACTAGTTTTTCGGTAAGTTTCTTGCAAAATGCGTAGCAGTTTTTCTTTGTTTGTCAAAATTCGAAAAAATTAACAAAATGCATCATCTAGAAAGTCTCCTCCTCATTTGTTCTTGGGATATACTTGTAGAATGTAGAATGTTTAGGAGGGGAGTTAATCACCGCGACCTTATTACAGATCTATTGTGATTGATTTCTTGAGTTATAACGAGTTATAACTCATCATACAGTCTCAGGGCTTTAACAAAAGCCAGTATCTGAGACGGCTCCACAGAGGCCAGGTCTCCTCGACATCAGCCGTACCAAAGTTCATGGCACGAATGGTCGTCGCCACGGCGCACTCAGTGATAAGGTGTTCTGGTGTTTCCCCATTTTCCCCACAAAATCTGCATTCGCCGTTGTTTCTCAGCTTCAGCCTACTGAGGTGCTTGTTGATGAGACAATCCAAAGATTGTTTTTACTTAAATCAAGGAAAACCTTTGATTTTTCTCTGTCGTAAGTTCTGAGGAACTTTTTCGAGTGTCTTAGACCGTTGGAGGACACCCATTCAAAGTTACGGATGGAGTCTTCCAGATTCTTCAGTTCCGCTTTCAGTTGGTTCCCGTTTGGAAAACAGAACGGTTCTGGTCCAGTTAGTGGAGTGTTCGCTCCTTTTCTAGCTAGATCATTTGTTTTTTCAGTGCCTTCTATCTCTTGGTGTAGGAGGACTTTATTTTCTTGCCATGTTGTGTGAAGGGTTTCCTTGTACAATTATTTGTCACTCGTCGCGGAGAGTGAGCGGCCAGATACTTGCCAAGTACGCAAATATTGGTGTACTTGCCAAGTACACGAGTCCTCAGAGTCCGAGCTGTAAGTAAATCAAATGGCACAAATGGCTTTTGGAGGAGCAGCATTTGGTTTGTAAAAAAAGATGATTACACATATGCTAATTTGAGTTTTAAGACGATGTATAAATGTTATAGATATAATAAAATTTTTATTATTACTAAGAAATTGAAAGATATGAAATCATTCAGGTACTTAATGTAAAGGTTTTCCAAAAAAAAATAGTGACATAATAAGACTGTCATGTGAGTAAGAATTTTGATACAAACATTTGTTTTTATTTTAACTATCAAAATTAGTTTATCTATCTAGGAACTAAATCACCTGTTTACAGATTAAAATAAGGACAAAGTTATTTATATAACTGTTGTTAGTCAATTTTTTCAAACTATTTTAAAGCGTGTGCACGTGTCTTTTTTTTTGATGACATTGATATCTACTTATAAACATATATACCTTATTATTGCGAATTTAGAAATTTGAATTGATTGAAAATATTGATAAAATTAGATAAATAAAAAAAAACTGCAATTTCTAATATGGCGGCTATTTTCAATATGGCGGCACTTCCGAAAATACTGGAAGTTAGTTGACAGGAACTTTCTTATTTTAAATGGGTAATGAATAATTCTCTATAAAATTGTAAATAAATTATAAAAACGGCGTCAGCGATGGCTATAAATGAAGATCGCTGTCATTTTATATGTACAATTATATGGGGAATGTCATTGACGTTCATTTCCAAGCCAACTGGACGCCGTTTTTTTTTCATCATAAGCGCGAAATACCTAGTTGTTAGACATAATTTAATAAAAGGCATATTAAAAAAATACGGTTTATTAACATTTTTTTTTCAACTATATTATATATAGTATTAGGTATATCATTTTATTCCTGACAAATTTTCCAACAAATATATCTACCTAATCTTGTGTAAAAAACTTTCTAACCTTCTTATGATTTAAATTTTTAAATTCTGAATTTTTGATTCTTATTCCTTTTATAAACATTTTCGAAAACTATATTGACTAACAAAAAT